GGAATTGGGTGTTTGATTCTGCCACAATGTGTTGTATGGACTATTTTATGGTACTTTTAAGGTGCTTTAAATTCAGGTTGGAGCTTCAATGTGTCTCATTACACATTTTATTGTTAGGAAAAATGGCTTAAAATGAGTCTGATAGCTGGAGTTAAGGAAAACCAAGCTTTTTTTCCGAAGGTTTATTTATTCTCAAAATGCAGCTCATAAAAATTCACCCATCAGACCCCACCCGTCAGATTGAACGGACTGGGCTGGGGGCGGTTATGGTGATTCATTTCCCATGCTGCTTTGCTGCTACAGCAGATGAGAGGAGTCAGACAAGGGGATTTTATGAAGCCAACTAAACAGGCATCTGTGCCACAGCCAGGCTGCCAATGCTAGCGGAACGCTTGTGTATGTGTGTGGTACAATACCCATTTCACTTCTCCAGACTTGGGTGGGGTCTTTCCTCCCAGTGTAATTAAACCCACAGGACCACCGTCCAGACACCCGAGCCCCACATGCGCACCACTAACCGTTTGTCTAATGCATCTCGTTTATCATCAACATCCCCCACACATCATAACACACACATGAACATCCATCATGCACACAGTTACACACAAATTAGGTTAGATTGTCCTGTTTCTCACCCTCCTCTCCTAATGAGACACATCAAAAAGCCTTGCATCAATATTTCACATCTCTTCGCTGTTTATGTTTGAATATTTCCTTTTGATTTAGTGCCTTGACATGTTTTGTTTCGTCCTATAAGAGGATATTTTGTGTGATATGGAGGAAATGTTTGTACAGATTTTCTTAGTCAGGCACATCCATGGAACAGCATCACAAGATTACATTTTTTTTGTAATTTGAATAGGAGGGATCTCACCTCAATACTAAAATTGTTCCTGAAAATTGGCATTTGACATTTTTCTTTATTTTATTTTATTTTTTATCTCTTTTTTTATGTTTTTTTTTATACAATTTTAATGTTAAACATGCTAGAAAAAAAAGACTTGTCAAAGTCAATGCAATAACACAAAAAACATAAAAAATATTATTATTATTATTATTATTTTTATTTTTGTTGTTGTTATTATTTATTTATTTATTTTTACAATATTTATATTTGTTTTTTTAGGTTGCATATAACTACAGGTTACACAACAATAACAATCGCGTAAACACAGCAAACATTTTTACATTCCAAAGTCCTTACCTCCACCCCACTCCCAATCCAAACAATTTAGAAAAAAAAATATATATATATAATAATAGTAATAATAATAATAATAATGATAATAACATTAAAATAAGATAATTATCAAACAAAGATAAAATAAAATAATAATAATAAAGTAGTAAAAATACAAAATAAAGGGATAGCGCATATATATATATATATATATATATATATATATATATATATATATATATATTGTTTTTGAAAAAACTATTATTTTAACAGAACTCTGAATCACTATTTTTCTATAGAAATAATTTAGTTTCATTTAAGTTTCACTGACATTAGAAATGTACCTGATTTAGGACAAAACTGTTTTCCGTTTATGTTGTATCAGACATCATTATAAATGTGGCGTTTAGTGAGAGATGGAGTCATCTAAGATTTAGTGAGAACTGAATGATATCAGACTGATTCAGACTAGTGATTCCTCTGTTTGAGTCGGGTATATCTTAGTGAACTGGATAGGACATTGACATTATTAGTTTAGAAAATGTGGCATAAATTCGTTTTACATTTGGTGTTTTAGATTCTTTTGAACACGTGTAGGTGTTGCTTGTCAATCAGATAACGCTTCTATGTTTGTTTTTGCTGTGAGTTGTGGGAAAAATGATCAATGAAATGTTTATGATAAACCGCTGTGAGTTTGAAACTTTAACAGCAGGCGCTGCATGATGTGCGTGTACATGAAGCAGAGTCAGATTTGTCCACGGAGTCAGATTTTAATACAACACCTGAACATTGAGCACAGATGACTTTATGACAAACACAGTGCAGAATATAAAGAAAATAAAACCAAAATACACAGTCACACTCTATCAAACATATCTTCAATGATAAGGAATATGGTATCTTACTGAGTTATTAATACACAGCAATACCACACAGAGAAAAGACGGACTTTGAAGGAATAAACAATGTGAGGTAAGCTTCGTTATAGTGCACTGGATAAGTCTGAACAAGTTTGACCGACCCATGCAAGCGCAAGGCAGGCAGTTCTGTACAATTACGTAATCTCTCGGCTAAACGATACCGGCCTAATTTTGAAATCGGACCGATAATAACATTAAAAATAGCATTTATCGGCCGATACCGATATGGCCACTGATATATCGTGCATCTCTAATTTATGATGTACAAAAAGTTTTATGAGCAGCCAAATCTGCATATTTAAAAGATTCTAGAAATGACGTGACATTAAAGATTAAAAGTATTGACTGCTAAAAAATTTAGCTCTGCCACCACAGGAATACATTACATTTTACAATCTAATAGATCTATTATAAAACAGCTCTCATCTAAACTGTAATATTTGACAATGTTACAGTTTTCATTGTATGCCAAAACAAGTAAATGTGATTTGGGGCATAAGCGACTTCTTTTAGAAACATTTTAAGTGCTTTTTGAGTTGTGTTTGAGTTTGGTTCATAAATAAATGTATACATAAATAAAGTTGATCTCATTTACTTTCAAATATGCTCATCAGTTGAGACAGCCAGTTCCTTCGTCTCTAAAGGAAACTGAATTGAATAAATCTTTAACAGCATAAAAGCAAACATTTCATAAACGGCATACATTAACACCTCAGAACATGAACACATTCCTGGATCTCTCATTTAACTCTTCTTCTTCCTGCACACACTCTAAAAAACGTTGAGTTAGTTATTTAACCCAATGGTTGAGTTAAACATATTTGGTGCTTTTGCTGGGTTATTTGTCACCTTTATTAGGTTATTTATTAATAACTCAACTAGTTGAGTTAAATATATTTGGTGCTGTGTTGGGTTATTTTTAACCTTCATTTGGTTATTTATTTATGGCGAGGCAGTGGTGCAGTAGGTAGTGCTGTCGCCTCACAGCAAGAAGGTCGCTGGTTCGAACCTCGGCTCAGCTGGCTTTTCTGTGTGGAGTTTGCATGTTCTCCCTGCCTTCATGTGTGTTTCCTCCGGGTGCTCCGGTTTCCCCCACAATCCAAAGACAAGTGGTACAGGTGATTGGGTAGGCTAAATTGTCCGTAGTGTATGGGTGTGTGTGTGAATGTGTGTGTGGATGTTTCCCAGAGATGGGTTGCGGCTGGAAGGGCATCCGCTGTGTAAAAACTTGCTGGAAAAGTTGGCGGTTCATTCCGCTGTAGCGACCCCGGATTAATAAAGGGACTAAGCCGACAAGAAAATGAATGAATGAATGGTTATTTATTTGGCGACACGGTGGTGCAGTAGGTAGTGCTGTCGCCTCACAGCAAGAAGGTTGCTGGTTCAAGGCTCGACTCGGTCAGTTGGCATTTCTGTGTGGAGTTTGCATGTTTTCCTAACGTTTGTGTGGATTTCCTCCGGGTGCTGCTGCTTCCCCCACAAGTCCTAAGACATGCGGTACAGGTGAATTGGGTAAGCTAAAAATTGTCCGTATGTGTATGGATGTTTCCCAGTGATTGGTTGCGACTGGAAGGGCATCCGCTGTGTAAAACATGTGCTGGATAAGTTGGTGGTTCATTCCGCTGTGGCGACCCCAGATTAATAAAGGGACTAAGCCGTAAAGAAAATGAATGAATGAATGAATGAATGAATGGTTATTTTTTAATAACTCAACCGGTTGGGTTAAAAATTAAAATTGTAACAGTCAACTGATTTGACAACTTATGCATAATGTTGTTTTTGCATTATAAAGTTTTTTTAAGCGATAACGAAATAATATTGTTGTTATTTTTTTTTATCAAATTACCTCTTCGTGTCGTGTTTGTATATCCATTTCACCATCCAAGACCATCTTTTAGAAGCGTTTGGATATGGTTAAAATGTATTGTACATTGTGGACACTGAGTGAAGCCTACTGCAGCTGCTGAACAGTCTCTACAGCACACAGAGCTCCATATTCTGCTCCATCAACACATGATTTTCTGCTTGCACAGTTTATAACCGTCTGTACTTTGTTCTGTTTCTTCATTGTTTGTGATTCTTGATTTCTTTTAACAAAAGTGTCTGGAACTAAAATGTAATGAAAAAAAGCTTTTTCAATACTGTAGAATGCTGTATGTTATTTATTTACACAATCATAATTATAAAACAAATAGTAGTACTAGTAATGGTAGCAATAGAAATGGAAAAAATAACATTTAATTAAAATAACCCAATGCATTGGGTTCAAATAACCCATAGTTGGGAAGGTGCTTTAATATCCTATAGTTGGGTTATATGTTGGGCTATTTTTAACCCAACTGTTTTAACAGAGTACTCTATTTCCACTCTCCCATCATTCTCTGTTCCTGCTGCCCCTTTCGGCTCACTTGTTTCTGTCACTTGCGGTCCGTCTCGTCCCTCTTGCTCGCTCTCCATCCCCCCAAATCACTTTCTCCTCAGCGTTGGTCGGATTAGCATAGCTAATTTGAGCCGGCCAGTGTTCAGTGAGTTGTGAATGTGCTAAATGTGCATTTCCATGATAAAGGCCGTGGCCGCGAGCTGCTCGTCTGTCACAGAAGTATGGCATTAGCGTTGTCCCGAGGGCTGTAGAGGCACATCGTGTTGTGTTTTCTTTTGAAGTGTTCAAATTCATTTTTCAGGACGCAGTACAGTACGCCGCTCCATTGTGCTGACAGAACGTTACAGTAGATTGTAAAAGCCACGTTTCTGTGCTGAATGGCGACCCCCGGGGCTCTATAATGATGCGTTCTAGCATTTGAGACATCAAAGCGAGCGTTTATGCAATCTCTAGTGAGAGTTGCCATGCACGAGCGTGTAATATAACTCCTTGCAACAATGCCGCATGTGTGTTTTTACAGGTCGATGAGCTGTACGAGGGCTTTTGCATTCAGAGGAGGTTGCGTGATGGCGCCAGTAAGATGAAACAGGCCTTCACTGCTTCGCCCTCCACCAAAGGCACACGTGAGAGCCTGGCGGAGGTCAATCGCAGATACAAAGAATATACAGAGGTACTTAGTGTGTGTTTATGCAGCAGATGTATTTCTAAAATGGATATGGCTGTATTTTGTCTGAATTATGAAGGCCCAATTAACGTCAAGGACAAAAACTATAAAAAATAAAGATAAAACTCTAGCTAAGAAAATTCTGTAACAATCATAATAAGGATACACAGGAATGAAGGTTTCAGAAATATATCCAAACATTGGTTTTCTAGCTTTTGAGCCTATCAGTATCTATCCTGTTTTAAGGGAATAATTTGACTAAATATCAAAATTATGCTATGATATATGACCAATGATCAGGCCATCCTAGATGTATATGTGTTTATTGTATGATGTTAGATGTATATGTATTTATTCAGACAAACGACACAGAAAAAAAAAAAAAAACTTTGGAATTATATTCAAACATTTATTATTCAAATTTTGGGTCAATCAGAATCTATCCTGGTTTAAAGTAATAATTTAATTAATAACAAAATATGCAGTAATTTACTAGCCATTAATTTATACTGGATGTATATGTGTTGATTTATTCAGACCTACACAATGTGAGTGCTATTAAAAATATCCTGGCTATTTATAGCTTTAAAATGGGAGTGAATAGTGCCCGAGTTTTTAAAGCTCCAAAAAAATACATCTAGCCATTATAAAGGTAATCGATAACTGCAAGTATAGCAATAACGACACAGAAGAAGAAGAAAAAACTTTAAAATCATATTCAAACAAACATTTGTTATTCTAGCTTTTGAGTCAATCAGAATCTATCCTGGTTTAAAGTAATAATTCAACCAATAGCAAAATTATGCTGTGATTTACTAGCCATTAAATCATCCTAGATGTATATGTGTTTATTTATTCTAACAAAAACAATGTGTAGTGTTAAATAATATCCTGGCTCTTCCTGGCTTTATAATAGGAGTGAATTGTGCCTGAGTTTTTAAAGCTCCAAAAAATACATCTAGCCATTATAAAATAACCAATAGTCTGCAAATAAAGCAATAATGACACAGAAGAGAAAACTTCGGAGTCACATCAAAACGTTTGTTATTCTAAGTTTTGAGCTAACAATCTATCCTGTTTCAAATGAATAATTTAACCAAATAACAAAATAATGCAGTGATTTACTAACCATTAATCCATCCTAGATGTACATGTGTTTATTAATCCAGACAAACACAATGTGAGTGGTATTAAATACTATCCTGGCTCTTCCTAGCTTTATAATAGGGGTGAACGGTGCCCGAGATTTTAAAGCTCCAAAAGAAATGCATCTAGTCATTATAAAATAATCCATAGTCTGCAAATATAGCAGTCATGACACAGAAAAACAAAACTTTGGAATATTCTAGCTTTTGAGCCAATCAGGATCTATCCTGGTTTAAAATAATAATTCAGCCAATAACAAAATTATGCAGTGATTTACTAGCCATAAATGTATCCTAGATGTATTTGTGTTTATTTAAAATCTTAGTGCCTGAGATTTTAAAGCTCCTAAAAATGCATCTAGCCATTATAAAATAATCCATAGTCTGCAAATAAAGCAGTAATGACACTGAAGAAAAAAACTTCAGAATCATATTCAAATATTTGTTATTCTAACTTTTGAGGCAATTAAATTCTATCCTGATTTAAATGAATAAATTAACTACATATCAAAATGATGTCATGATTTACTAACCGTCAATCCATCCTAGATGTATATGCGTTTATTTATTCAGACAAACACAATGTGAGTGTTATTAAATAATATCCTGGCTCTTCCTAGCTGTATAATGGGAATGAATGGTGCCTGAGTTTTTAAAGCTCTAAAAAAACGGAGATCCATTATAAAAGTAATCCATAGTCTGCAAAATATATCAATAATGGCACAGAGAGGAAAAAAATCGCAATCATATTCTAACATGTGTAATTCTAGCTTTTAGGCCAATCAGAATCTATTTTTGTTATAAAGGTATAATTTAGCTAAATATCTTAATTATGCTATGATTTACTTACCCTCGAGACATCCTAGATGCAAATGTGTTTACTTTTTCAGACGCAATCTGAAAGAAGTTAAATAATATTCTGGCTCTTCCTAGCTTAATAATGGTAGTGAATGGTGCCTGAGATTTTAAAGTTTTTAAAAGCACCTCCGGTCATTATAAAAGTAATCCAGGGGTTTAATAAATGTTTTCTGAAGATAAATAAATCTGAATTTAACACTTTATAAACTATTATGACTGCTGCAAGCATGTTTACAGAACAGTTGAGTTCCATACCATTCATTGTCTTTACAAAACTGCCATTTATTTTATTACAATATTTTTAATTTATCAGATATTTTAAATTTTTGGGTAAGCATTTAAAATGACATTTGCATACATTCAAACGTGGATGACAGTTATTACTATAGTAATATTTATAGTGTAAAAATTACTGATATTTCTGTTTAATAAGAATATGAATTAAAAAAAGAATGTCTGACATTTATATTATCATGTGTTTCTCTCAGAACATGAGCACTTTTGAGGGCGAGCTGGAGAACCTGTTGGGGGAGTTTCATATCAAAATGAAAGGTACATGATTTCTGCACAAAACAATCTAATAAAACAGTCGGGTTTTAATAACAGACATTTCGACTCCTTTGCTTTCTGTTCCAGGATTAGCTGGTTTTGCCAGACTTTGTCCTGGTGATCAGTATGAGGTGGGTTGTTTGGAAATTCTTTCAGAGCATACTGAGTTTCAAGCATTTTTTTTGCTGTAATAAATCCAGATCGATGTGTATTCTATCAAATTACCGAACTCTTGTAATTGCCCATTGTTCTGCCAAGTACACACAGTTTGTTCGTAATCACAGCTCTCGTAGCAACATTTTCTTTTTGATCCACAGTTACATCCACCCACCAAACCCAATTAGACTTTGTGAGGCTGTATAAAACTAAACAATTAAAACCCACTGAAAAGTCTATTAACAATCAAGTGGCTTTTTTTAATTCTACTTGGCTCTTCCTTGTAGATTTTCATGAGATACGGCCGACAGCGGTGGAAACTGAAGGGGAAGATCGAAGGAAACTCTAAGCAGAGTTGGGATGGAGAGGAGATGATCTTCATGCCCCTTATTTCAGACCTTATTAACATCAAGGTGAGCTGTGGTTCATAAGTCTTTCATCCCAGTGCAATAACGGGAGGGTGTGTGGTATTGATATTTTTTGTTAGGAATTTTTTTATGATAATAATAATGAAACACTGCTGTATGTGTTGTTGGGTTCGTACTTCAGCTGGCTTACACCTGTACTGGATACACAAATATACATTTATACTGCCTGTGAGCCTCTGTGTTATTGACTGATTCACTGAATCATCCATTCAGATTGGTTCAGTATGGCTAATTCATTTACAAAGCAAGTAACTGACTTTGTCTGAAATCCCCTACTACTCATTAGGTACTACATTTAAATTTGAATTTACTACACGACCATTAGAAAAGTACATTCTATATAGTATAAATGTGAGTAGTACAAATGAATGGTATAAATAGTATGAACTCTGACATGCTACATCTGATATTTGTTATGATCACGTGACCTACCTTCTTCAGTAGCATCGTTTCACTCCCACTCATGAATTTTCTTGTGTGGCATCATCGGAGAGTGTAGCGTCCATCAGATGCACACTTCAGAAGCTCACCTGAAGTAGTAGGTCATCCGGGATTTTCGAATACTATAAATTTCAGATATACTTTCGGACACAGCCACTGCCTTTATGAATGATTCTTGGGTCATTGACTAAAATTATTTGATCAAAAAAACGTATTAATTTTGTAACGGAACACCACATTATTGTGCTAATGTTCTGCTCTGACTTTGGACAATTTTCAGTGACGAAAAAAAAAAATATATATATGTATGTATATATATATATATATATATATATATATATATATATATATATATATATATATATATATATATATATATTGCATCTAAAATGTTGTTGTTGTTGTAGTAGTAGTAGTAGTAATAATAGTAAAAGTAATAGTAGTAATAGCAGTAGTAGTAATTGTAGTAGTAGTAGATGTAGTAGTACTAATAGTAACAATAGTAAAAGTAATAGTAGTAGTATTAGCAGTAGTAGTAGTAAAAGTCGTAGTAGTAGTAATAGTAACAATAGTAAAAGTAATAGTAGTAGTAATAGTAGTAATAGTAATAGTAGTAGTAGTAGTAGTAGTATTAATAGTATTAGTAATAGTAGTAAAAGTAATAGCAGTAGTAGTATTAGTAGTAGTAGTAATAATAGTAGCAATAGTAGTAGTAATAGTAATAGCAGCAGTAGTAGTAGTAGTAATAGTAAAAGTAGTGGTAGTAGTAAAATTAGTAGTAGCAATAATAGTATTAGTAGTAATAGTAATAATAGTAACAGTAATTAGTAGTAACACTCCACAGTATCTAATTTTTTTTTTATATTCCTACTACTTAACATTTCTGATTTTGATTGTAATGTAATAATGTGCACTCTTTTTTAAATCTGCATTGGAATACTAATTACAGTAAAAAGCGCTATACAAATAAACTTAAACTTCTGTCCTAAAATCTGTCACATTTGCTATCATGCTTGCATGCTGATATTTGAGACCTTTGACAGCTTGCATAAATAATAATTGCATCACATCCAATAAATATAATTTAAAAACATAAACTCATGCAGGGCTCAATTTTACGTTTATGACTTGTATTAAAGTGTCATTTTAAAAGACTTCTTATTGTCTTCTAAGACATGTTTTTGCTAAGTGAGTAACATAACCGATAATCATAGATGATAAATATCGCACACCAAAACATTCTTCGAAAATTGCATAAATACTAAATATAAGAGTCAATCCTCCTTCAGAGGAATAATTCAACCAAATATCAAAATTTTGCTTTGATTTACCAGCCCTCAAGCCATCTTAGATGTGTTTGTGTTTATTCATTTGGGCAAACACTATCTCTGAAACTTTCCATAAATACTAACCAATAATGTTTGTTTACTGACCTGTTATTAAAATGTCATATTTCTTTCCCTCAGTCCTGAATACTTGACTATTGCAACAAAAACACATTGACTATTTTCTTAAATGAAGTGACATTCTCAATACATGCCTTTATTCCTCCAGGTGACCGAGTTAAAGGGTTTGGCCACTCATGTTTTGGTGGGCAGTGTGATCTGTGAAACCAAGGACCTGTTCACCGCTATGCCTCAGGTGGTTGCTGTAGACGTCAACGACCTGGGAACCATTAAACTTAACCTGGAGGTCGCCTGGTTGTAAGTGATCTTATTTAATAAAATGAGATTGGAAGTGTGGATTTTCAGTGCATGAAGCCAGAGTAAATGAAAACAATGATTATTTACACTGCCCTCTTCTGGACAGCTGTGGACGTGACATCAAATTACATGTTCCTGGCCATTAGTGGTGGAAAAGTTCCACTAAAAGATACCTTTTGGTCCTATTTTATTATTAAGTTCCCTTAATTACTATTTACTTGCATTTAAGTGAATAATTTGGTTAAATGCACTTATTATCTAACATACTTCTTTTTCATTGTGCTTGTATATTACAAATTACCTGCATGTAAATACAACTGTAATCCATATTTGTATGCTGTTAATCCACATTTAAACCTACCCAAATTATTTATTTATACCATATTAGGATGTCATACATGAAAGTATGTCTGTCTTGAATTTACAGTCCGTTTGACGTGGAGGATCTGACTCTGTCCTCTGGGAACGTGAGTAAAGCCACTGCCCTTCAGAGACGGGTTTCAGTCTATAGCCAAGGCACACCCGAGACGCCCACTTTCCAGGACACATCTTTCTTTGTGAGTGCACTTATGAAACGCCTCTCAGATCTGCCTAAAATCTATGTCTATCATCTTGCTTGATTTGTGGCAGCATCATTATGAAATTTAAAGTATAGATCATTTTGTGGCATGTGAACATTAACAAAGGTCCTAACATGTTTCCTGTTTTACATGTTTGAATTTCTATAGCTTCCCAGCTTCCACATGTTAAAAATAATGTTATGTTAGCTGTTTTAATTTTAGGTTATTTTTGAATTGCCTCTTGTTATGGTTATGAAATAATTTGACAACAAAGTGGGCCAATGACATCACCACATTGAAATGGTCTGTAGTTAACTTGCAAAATAAAGATTCTCTCCTTATTTGCTCACTCTCAGCTAGATATTTGAAGGTATTTTAAAGAATGTTAGGAAAAAGGTAGCCATTTACTTCCATTTTTTTAATACTATGGATGTCAGTGGTTACCAGTTTCCAGCATTCTTCAAAATATCTTCTTTTGTTTCAAACAGAAGAAAGAAACACTTGAGGGTGTGTAACTGACTAGTAAATGTTCATTTTTGGTGAACTATGCCTTTAAATAATTACTGGTGAAAATGAAGTACACCTTTAAAATATACATTTTGGCACCAAAGGGCATTTTACAGTGCACCCAGAAAGTAATCATAGCTCTTCACTTTTTCACTTTTTAAATTTATTTTACAGCCTAATCCAAAATGTATTACATGCATTTATTTCCTCAAAATTCTGCACACAACACCCCATAATGACAATGTGAAAAAAGATTTTTAGAAAAGATTTTTGTTACAAAATTTATTTAAAAAAAAAAATGAAAAAGCTGAAAAATTACATGTACATAAGTATTCACAGCCTTTGACGTGAAGCTCTAAATTGAGCTCAGGTACATTCTGTTTTCACTGATCATTCTCAAGAAGTTTCAGCAGCTTAATTGGAGTTTACCTGTGGTAAATTCAGTTGATAGGACATGATTTTACAAGGCATGCACCTGTCTATATAAGGTCCCAGGGTTGACAGTACATGTCAAAGCACAAACCAAGCATGAAGACAAAGGAATTGTCTTTATACTTCTGAGACAGGATTGTCTCAAGGCATAAAGCTAGGGAAGGTAACAGAAATTTTTTTGCTGCTTTAAAAGTTCCAATAAGCACAGTGGCCTCCATCATCCATACGTGGAACCACCAGGACTCTTCCAAGAGCTGGCCGGCCATCTAAGCTGAGTGATCAATAACCCAATGGTCACTCTGTCTGAGCTTCAGCTTTCTTCTGTGAAGAGAGGAGAGTCTTACAGAAGACAACCATCTGTGCAGCAATTCACCAATCAGGCCTTTATGGTAGAGTTGCCAGACAGAAGCCACTCCTTAGTAAAGGGCACATAGCAGCATACCTGGAATTTGCCAAAAGGCATCTGAAACAAAATTCTCTGGTCTGATGAGACTAAAATTGAACTCTTTAGAGTGAATGCCAGGTGTTACGTTTGGAGAAAACCAGGCATGGCTCATCACCGGGCTTAATACCATCCCTACGGTGAAGCATAGTGGTGGCAGCATCATGCTGTGGGGATGTTTTTTAGCAGCAGGAACTGGAAGACTTGTCAGGATAGAGAGAAAGATGAATGCAGCAATGTACAGAGACATCCTGAATGAAAACCTGCTTCAGAGTGCTCTTGACCTCAGACTGTGGCGATGGTTCGTCTTCCAGCAGGACAATGACCCAAAGCACACTGCCAAAATATCAATGGAGTGGCTTCACAACGACTCAGTGAATATCCTTGAGTGGCTCAGCCAGAGCCCAGACCTAAATCCTATTGAACATTTCTGGAGAGATCTGAAAATAACTGTACACCGTCACTTCCCAACCAATCTGATAGAGCTTGAGAGGTACTGCAAAGAGGAATGGGCAAAAATTCCCAAAGACAGGTGTGCCAAGCTTGTGGCATATTCAAAAATACTTAACGCTGTAATTGCTGCCAAAGGTGCATCAACAAAGTATTGAACAAAGGCTGTGTATACTTCTGTACATGTGATTTTTTTATTTTATTTATTTATTTATTTATTTATTTATTTATTTTATAAATTAAAAAAAAATTTCACATTGTCATTTTGGGGTATTGTGTGGAGAATTTTAAGGAAATACATTAATTAATTTTGCATTAAGGCTGTCACAAAAAAAAAATTTGAAAAAAGTGAAGCGCTAAGAATACTTTCCGGATGCATTGTATATACAAATAATTAAAAAATTATTATAATTTCAGTTTAATTAAATGCAATTAGCTTATCTTAAGAGTGCCTTTTACATCCAACTAAGGGCGTAATTGCTTCTTTATATGTCATTTTATAATTACTTCTATTGTTTTGGAAATATGGTTTAATTTGAATGTACTGGCAAACATTTACAGTGAAGTAAGATATACTTAAAATATATAACGTTATTCAAGTTAACTTCTGTGTAAACTTGTATATCATTAAATGATTAAATTGTGGATTAGTCAAGTTGAACTTCAAAAGCAACGATAAATAAATAATAATCTACAGGTAAAATTGAAAAAATCATATTTATACTATTTTAATAAATCTAGAATCAAATGCATTACTTCTGCTTTAGTAGACACATCAAAATAAGTGTAAATCTTTAGAGCATGGCAATAACATGTAATTAACAGTTTTAATGTGACATTATTTAAAAACTATTCATGAAAGTTTGCTTTACTCAAGTGCCCTCATTTCATTAATTTTACTCTATTTTCCAGCACAGCTTTTCATAAACTCGTAAGAGGAAAAGAATACACCATGAGTGCATTTTTCAATAGCTCAAAGGTGTGAATATTATATAAAAATGTATTCATCAGGTGTTACATCACATTTTCCTGCATTAACAACATAATACTAACCCAAATACTTACACTAATGGCTTCTGTCTAGCTGTTCTGGGTTCAGCAGTTATTATTTTGTTTGTGTTATTAAACATTTGCAGCTTATGTGTGCATGTTATAGTCTAGTCTGTGTAGTTATGTCTAATGAATTGTATTCACTATGTGTCCGTGATGGCTGTTACATGTGTGTTTGTGTGTGTCAATGGCAAAGAAGTGGCAGCCCAGGCGATGGGAAGGCCAGCGTCTCTCGTTTTTGCACACACTCAGAGAGACTCTAATAGAGAAACTCAGACGCAGCCGCTCTTTCGGCGATCTGGCCGCACTGAGACCTCGCTCAAGGTCCAGTCTAGAAGTCTACGTGAGTCAGGTCACTGTGTGTCCTGCTAATCTGAGTGATGCATGTGTTTTTGTGTGTGTTTGACTCTGTTTTCTTTACTTGCGTTTCCTGCATTCACTTATTGTTTCTTCTTACTTGCATTAACACAGACACTTTTCTCAACTGTAAAATAAAAAGCCCAATCCCAGTTCTATTTCTGTACCCCTACCCCTTCCCTTTAGCCATTACAACCGGGGGTTACCCCGGCTTTACCCCTAAGAATTGGGACAGCACTACAGCACCTGCACATGTCACCATATGTCATCGCGATCTCATGTTTCATATGAGATTAGATGATCGTGACGGCTGTAGTTATTCCAGTTGTGCTATTTTTTTGGTATTTATTTTTAAGAAATCACTTAAGGCATATATGTTATCATAATGTGGCAATAAGATCATAACTGTACTGTGTATTTACACAGTGGCCCTGTTCATCTGTAAACACATGAAAACAACATTAACATTATAGCAGACACTGTAAAAAGCTTATTCTCTGCCACAAGACTTTTCTGACAGGGTATTCAAGTGTCATCGAGTGTCAGAATATTGTGGGAATGCTATACAGGAGTTATGATTACGGATTATATATTGCGAAATTTTGCATTTTTTTATTAAAGCATGACGGTAAAACACGAATGTGGTTATGAATATATTAAAACGTGTTTGTCGTAAAAATTCGTAATAATGACAAAAAATACTCATTTGTGGATCTCCTTACTTACGGGTTCAGCAATACTGCCGTTGTGGCAGGTGTATTCTGGGAAATTTACTTACCCCTTGGTTTTGAGTGTGGTCCTGAAAATTCTTTGTTTCAAGGGCTATTCACACCTTCCCCTTAGCCATACGCCTTCAAGCTAAAGATCAATGGGAAACCCCTACCCTTTGGCATGAACGTGTAAAATGAGGGGTAAGAGGAAGGGCTAAGGGGTAGAATTGAGATTGGGCCTTAGACTCCATGAAATTAAAATAGTGGCTTTTAAATCATGGGTGTTATGTAGCCTATTTTATGTAGGTCAGCTGTGAGAATAATAAAAATGTGTGTTTCTGAGCACAAAAAAATGACTTGCATCAATTTTGATCTAATTTACAGAAGACTCTTTATATATGTCTTTATTTATTTTTATTTTTTATTTTTCGAAACATGTTTATTTAAGGCTTCAAAATGAATATACAATGTGCTTTTACAGACTTAATCAAAGGCACTTTTTACAAAAAAATGTGCAATGGGTTATAGAAATGGTATTAATCCTTAAAAATAAGAAAATAAGTCAATAGATAATGTTGAAGTCAGAATTATTAGCCCCCCCTGAATTTTCAGCCCCGTTTATTTTTTTCCCCAATTTCTGTTTAACGGAGAGAAGATTTTTTTTCAAGACATTTATAAACATAATAGTTTTAATAACTAATTTCTTATAAGTGATTTATTTTATCTTCGCCATGATGACAGTAAATAATATTTTACTAGATATTTTTCAAGGCACTTCTATACAGCTTAAAGTGACATTTAAAGATTTAAATAGGTTAACTTGGCAGGTTAGGGTATTTAGGCAAGGTATTGTATTATGATGGTTTGCTCTGTAGGCTATCGAAAAAATATATAGCTTAAAGAGGCTAATAATTTTGACCTTAAAATGATTATAAAAAAATTTAAAACTGCTTTTATTCTAGCCAAAATAAAACAAATAAGACTTTCTCCAGAAGTAAAATTATTATCAGACATACTGTGAAAATTTCCTTGCTCTGCTAAACATCATTTGGGAAATATTTATAAGAGAAAAAAAATCTAAAGGGGGCTAATAATTCTGACATCAACTGTAGATGGAGGTAAGGAAAAAGAAGGAAAAAAAGGGAAACATCATACCAGCTATAAGTACTAATATTGCTGACCAATTAGTCACAAAGTCTCTGGAAAGGCTCATAAAACAAAATATATGTTTTCCATGGAGGTCTTTAAATCTTCTGTTCTTCAGTGTGTTACTTTGATCGACTTATCAGCACTATTATTTATACAGTTAACGCAAATTTACACTGTATTTGTCTTCTCTTTTGTGTTTTTCCCTCTCTTTCCTCCAAACAGTCCACTTTACCAGATGACGTCTTTGAGAATGGAGGCTGCGGTGTGGCTGAATGCAAGCGTCTGTCTTTCACCTTCTCAGACACGTCCACCTCAAGCCCTGTCCCTGTCCAGTCAAACCCTGAGATTACAGTTACCCCTCCCGAGACGGACCCATCATCTGAACCACCTCCAACCTCAGAGGAGCAGCTGGTTGAGGAGGAGTGTGTAGAAGAAGACTGCGGCAGTATCAGCGTCAGTGTCAGCGTCAGTGATCCGGACCTCGAGTGGGACCAGGTTGAAACCCAGGGGCCTGAAACAGGCTCTGTGGCCCTCTCGTTGTGCTCTGAGAGTCAGCTTTCTGCAGTAGGACCAGAGGACGTGGTGTTTCTGGAGCCCAATGTGTCTGATGAAGCCCTGGAGCTGAAGCCGGTGGAGCTGGATGGGGAGGAAGGCAGTCTGACCAGGCAGCTGGTGAGGAGGCTGACCTCGTCTGATATGCTGCCTGAGACCAGTGCTCTGAGCTGGGCTGGAGAGAACAGCAGGACTTTTATGGAGAGCAGTCTGGAGGAGGTCATTCAGTCGCTGCTCCTGCGGCTAGAGAGTTTAGGGCAGCGCTGCGGGGAACTGCAGGACCTGGAGCAGGAAGTCATGAGACTTGAAGACCTGCTCAAGGTGAATGAGCTCTCTGTGATCTTTACTTAAAAGAGTCAAGCCTGTGGGAACTTTGATGTCCAAACAATATCCAGTTAACATTGGCGTAAAAAAAAAAAAAAATGTCAAAAACGCAAATTGATTTGATGTCAAATCTGATTGACCACCAAAGTAAAAACACAAAAGTATTATAATATAAGCAAAGTTTAATTCAAACTTTACTTTGCGTTTTTACAATCAGTGTTGGGGAAACGCATTATAAGTAACGTGAGTTAAGTAATAAAACCAGTTTTTAAAGTAATGAGTAGGGCCAGACAGAATCTGCAGACATTTTGTGGTGAAGTTATAAAAAAAACTGAAGTATCATAACTAAAATCTTAATATATGAAATAAAAAATTATGTATTTTTGACTTTTATTTAATGTTTACAATGCAAATCCAATTGGATCCACTTATTTGGTAAGCAAAACAAGTCTCTCATATGATTTATCTTCTAAAAATTAAAACTATTACTTTGCAAACTGTATTGTAAATAAATTTACATACATTTACACAAGTAAATACATAGACTCAATGATGGGATAAAACTCTGCAGAAATCTGTGGATTTCTGCACGTGCAGATTCCGTGTGGGTCTAGTAATGAGTAAAGTAACTCATTACTTTTAAAAAATAAGTAAAAATATTTGAGTTACTTTTTAAAAATGTAATGCGAGTAACTTCTAAAGTTAATTCACTTTTAAAAAAATAAATTGCTGAATTAAAATTAATGTAGTCTTGAATCCTGGGCTAATGAGACAATACAGGAACCTACAGAAATTAAGATGGCAGAGCCCTACATTTCTGCAATGGAAATATTCTCTTTATTTGGAACATATGGAAGAAAAGGAAAAGAGGATTACATAAAAAGGACAGTTATTTTTACTTTTTTAAGACAAAAAAGTAGCAAATGCATTGCTTTCAGCTGTAATTAATTTGTAAATATGCCATATATAGCTCTGGGGTCAGGAAATTGATAATAATTTTTATGTTTTTTTTTTATGGAAAATTAAGTTCTAGAAGTGATCAAGCCTCAGCTAGGCCAAAAAAAAAAGCAAAAATAACTCAAAAGTAACATAACATTACTTTCCATAAAAAAGTAACTAAGTAAAGCAACTAGTTAGGGCTGGGTGATTTGGCCTAAAATCAAAATCTTGATTCATTGAACATTGAACACAGTTGATTACAATTAAAGAATGAAGGCTGAGCCAGGCCGCATGCAATCGCTTGGGAGAAGTATAATATAAGAATAATATAATAAGTATAAATCATATTATAATAAGTATATATTAGCCTTAACAGAGCAGGGTCACAAGACTCCACACACGATAGGTAAAGTTAAGTAAAAAAATTGACCTTTGATTGAAAAATTTGATCGATTATATGTTATGAATGTCAATTTCGATTACTTTTCGATTAATTGCCCAGCCCTACAACTAGTTACTTTTTTTGGGGAGTAACTCAATGTTGAAATGCATTACTTTCTAAAGTAACTTTCCCCAACACTGCCTACAATGCATCTAGCATTGTTGTCAAAAGATTTATCATAAATTGATTACAGGACAGTTCTGTAATAACTTTTTTTAAGTTGTTTTTTGACACCAATGTACGATGTCAATTTGATGTCGTTTTGATTTTATCGATGTGGTTTTGACATCAAGGTGCTGCCTATGACGGGCTTTTCAGTAATTTTTATATTTGTCGTTCTTGGTGCTGGCCCAGAAATTAAAATTCAGACACAATTTATGCACCCTCAAGTGTTCCCATTTCTTTTGGACACAAACCTTTTTTGAATAATGGTGGAAACCAGTAGCAATTGATTTTTGTAGTACTTTATTAATTCTATTTTATTGAACATTTTACATGTTTAACTATAGACAACAAAGCTTGAGATCCACCCAACAGAAAGGTAAAATATATTTAAAAATCAGGATTGATTTTCTTGTTGGCGCCATTTTGTTGGTATATTCCAAACTAATAATGTCCAGTAGTTAGAGTTTCCAAGAAAGATCAACTGGAGTGGATGGATCCAGTCATAGTTTCAGGAAAAGTTTTTGCAGCAGTCAGAACATTGGACAGAATCCTTGTTTGATTGATGGATAGAGCGAGTGATGATGTGTCCAGCAGGAGAAAACCTAATTGGTTGCACTGGATGACTTTTGTAGTATAGTTTAATACTATGGATGGTAATGGCTTCCAGTTTTCAGCGTTCCTCAAAATTGAAGTTCACATTTACTATTGCGAAGCAAACTTTGCTTGTTTCATTCAATAGGTATCCATCTGTAGTTTTGCACAAGGGTTAATAAGTTATGCATGCAAATTTCACCCATGTTCAATTTAGTCATATTCTTTGAGTTGACCTTCAGACACTACTTGGTTTGAAAGGGATTTTTGTATTAAAGGGGTAGTTCACCCAAAAAATGCTAATTTTCTCATTTGCTTGCACTTAAGTGGTTAACAAAGCAAAGCAAGATATTCTGACAAATGTTGGAAAAAACATTGACATCTATAGTAGGAAGAAAAAAAATAGAAAGGAAGTTAATCGCTGTTTATGTCTTCTTTTGTGTCCAACTGAAGAAAGAAATTTGAACATGTTTGAAACAAGTGGACAATGAGTAAATGATGACATTTTTTTTGTTGTTGTTGTTGACGAACACATTCGACTAAATTAGTTTCAGAATATAAATGCCTATGTGGTTAAGTACATTTAAAAACCCATCCTCGAGTGAAATCCACAAGTGTTCACAAGAGACACATCTGAATGGTTATGTGTATCGTCTGACCAAATCAGCCGAGACATGATCAGATCACTGAAAACACTTGATATGATATGGAAACAGAGACTAGTGACTTCTGTTTGGCCTATGCTTTAAACATGACTGCATTATTGACAATAGATATTTCATACTTTTTGTACCTGCGAAATTGATAATGCTACCCCACCTTTACTATTGATTAAGTATGAAGCTTAATCTGTTTAATAACCAACGTGAACTTAAAATAATAATTTATTGTCCACACTGATCTTGTGGTTCTTGAGTCTGGATTTTGATGCCGTTAGTCTTGATTTAGGACACTTGACTCTTGTACTCAGGACAGCTTGGATACTGTTACATCTGTCTAGCACAAGGGTGTCTAATCCTGCTCCTGGAGTACCAGTATCCTGTGTATTCTGGCTCCAACCAGCTCCAATACACTTTACTGTTAGTTTCCTAAGCATTTGGAAGGTGAACATGCAATCTTTAGCCAAAACATCCACTGCCAGAGGCTATTTTGTGATTTTCTGCAAGGTGCCTGACATGACCATGCTGATACGCTTTTTCCAATGGTAATACAGACCCTCGCAGCTAGTAAGAGAATCTCTGTGTCATGTAATCCTGAAGAACTTGATTAGCTGGAATGTTTAATTAGGGTTGGATCCAAACTCTACATGACAGTGGTTCTCCAGGGGCAGGTTTGACATACCAGTTCTACCACATTTAATTTAGCAAAAGTGCAATTTATACACTAAAAAACAAATAAACAAATAAATACATAGAGTTCTTACAGATTTAGTCTGATTTCTAGTCTAAAAATATTTGAATCAAGTAGCATTTTCTAGACAAAATAATGTCGTTTTCAGAAAGTCAAAAGTTTTTCCTTAAAACAAGCGAAGTAATCTGCCGAGTGGTAAGCAGAAATAAACTTGTTCACATTATTTTTTTACCCACCTGACAGATTATTTAGCTTTTTTTTTTCTGAAAATGCTTATTTGATTTAAGGATTTTCAGATATTTATATTTGAAATGAGTCAAACCCTCTGAGTATACAAAATTCTTACCCTCTGTGAACCATGCAGACATTTTTGTGACCTCATTGTTTTGAATAAGGCTTATTGTTTCTCCTCAGTGTCGAGTGCATGCCCATAGGAGCCGCTCATCAAGCCTCAGTTTGACGGTAGAAAGCGCTCTGGAAAGTTTTGACTTCCTCAACACCTCTGACTTCGATGACGATGACACAGGAGATGACGCTGGCACTCTCTCACGTGCTGTCTTCTTTGACATGGAGTCAGAGAGAATGGGGTGAGTTCAACATTACACCCTTTGCTGATCTGGGATGCATCTGAAACCACACACTTTCCTGCTATATAGTAAGCCAAAGACAACTATGTGACATAAGAGGTTTATATGAGTTAACGCTTGAGTAAATTTCAAATACCTACTATTTTCTCTTGTGAGATTCTAAGGTGTGTCTGTAATATATAATTTATTATCCCGCTAGTAGACCAAGGCAGAAGATTTGTAAATGGCATTAAAGCTGGGGTCTCAAACTGCCAGCCCGCGGGCCTTTTACAGCCTGCCTTCCTCCTCCCACCGGCCTGCAACTGACGTTAAAAATATAACGAGATTTGGCCCACCAAAACATTTTTTGAACCACGTATGTGCTCTATTTTTACTAAAGCTCTATCTTTATGAATATTCAAGGGTCTTTTGATTATTATCAGTTTTATACCACCTGTAATTTGTTGTGCAAACACTTCTTCATGGCTTACATGTTATGCTGGTGGTGTAACAAAGATGATAATTTTGCTAATATTCGATTCAAATGGTCTCTTTTAATAGATTTTCCCCATTAAATATAGATTATGCTTATTAGGATTTGCATAAAAATAAAAACTATGTACATTAGTAAAATTATACAGCTGGTTGAGTTGAACTTGTTAAAGGAAAGGTGAATATATACTTACTTTTCCCCTCTTTGCTTTTCCAAAAAAAATAAAAAAACAAAGATTGAGAAGAACAATTGCTGTTAAAGTAACTTAAGTAACCCAGACTGCTTTCTGTTGTTCTTATGCTACTGGGACAATACAATTGGTTGGGGCAGAATAATAATAATTATGCCTATTATTTGTAGCAATTTAAACAACCCCTTCAATATGTACAACAAGAAACAAAAAGCTAGAGTTTTGACTACATATACTCTGTGGAAGAATGATGCTCGGCCATACACATAACAGCCACAGATATTTCAGCAGCTGATGTGTGACATGATAAACATGCTGATATGTGTTATCACTAACAGGTAATGCTTAAAATATAAACGTCATCTGTTGTCCTAAGATGCTTCAATTACATCAGGTTTCCACAAAACGGCCCTCTTATGAATTGTCGGTCACTGAAATGGCCCTCTGCCAATTTGAGTTTAAAACCCCTACATTAAAGGGATACTAACTAATAGTCGTGATGATGATTTATAGAGACAGTGCATAACATGTCATAATCGGCAACCGGGGGCAGAACAATCCAAGATGGATTGACATTAAATTGTATTGCAGGAAGCTGCCTCCGTCATTTTTGATCAATAGCAAAAACAAAACAATATCTAAAAACTGCTATGCTAAGTTGAACAGTAAAATAGCTAAAAAAAAAAACCCTACATTTTTTAGGCTGTCAACCCCTAAAACAAGCATTTAAAGGTGCTGTGTCTAAGTTTTTCACTCTTCTAAAGCATAAAAATACTATAATGTTTGCAGAAATCTAAGAAACATGCTAAGTGAGCTAGCAATTATCTGAAAAACAAGGCTAAAGTCAGATAATCTGCTTTGAAAATGTTATATATGATATCTGACTTTCCAGTAGTAAAATGTCCACCTTACACACAGGCCTACTGAGTGTCAGGACCCCACAATTTACCCATTCTTCCAGCTGATGCTTCACGTCCATTGCCTCCCTGCAGAAAAATCCAGCTTAAACCAGCCTAGGCTGGTTGGCTGGCTTTAGCTGGTCGTCCAGGCTGGTTTTAGAGGGGTTTTGGCCATTTCCAGGCTGGTTTTCAGCCATTTCCAGCCTGGTCTTAGCTGGTCAGGCTGGAAACTGACCAGCTAAAACCAGCTTGACCAGCCTGGTTTAAGCTGGACATAGCTGGTTTTGACTGGGCTCCCAGCCTGGCTAGGCTGGTCAAGCTGGTTTAAGCTGGTCATCTTCCAGCCTGACCAGCTAAGACCAGGCTTGAAATGGCTGGAAACCGGCCTGGAAATGGTCAAAACCCCTCTAAAACCTGGTTTAAGCTGGATTTTTCAGTAGGGCTGGATCCACATTTGTCACCCTTAAACCGCTAGCTTTTATGGTTTGGTAGCTTATAAAACTTAGCTCTGTTTTTTTTTAGCTTGTTTGGAGTAGTACACCATGTCACATGGCAGTTTTGGGCATTTTTTGTAATATGTTAGGAATGACGAAAGCAGCTTGCAGCAATAGAGAGTCAAAGGAGAGGATTATTTATCCGTTTAAAGACGTAGCTATAGTTTCTCCCAGTGACTCATACTTGTGATTTTGCATTATGCAGTGCCCTCTATCGGTGACAGGATGTCTTTACATGTCCAACAGGTCAGGTCAACATCCAGAAGCGCGAGGCCATCTGAGTGAAGCCCTCACAGAGGACACAGGCGTGGGGAACAGTGTGGCCGGCAGCCCTTTGCCCCTCACGACAGGAAACGAGAACCTAGACGTAGCCGTCGTCATTCATCTGCAATACTGCAATCATCTCATTCAGGTGAGTCAGGGTGTCCGCAATTCACAGCTTAATTTCTTTATTCTCTGGTGATTTTCTTTGACTGTAACATTGAACATGGTCCCTCAACAGCGGATGTATGGCATAGACAGTGTATAATTTAGTTTTGTTGTTTTAAAATGCTGATGTTTCTCTATGTATGGGATGCAGTTGTTGACTTCAGGAGGAAGCCAGTCACAGCATAAGACATACCTGCACAAACTAGCAACTCAAACTCTGCTGTTGGAGGAGCTCAGTGAGAGGAACTTTGACAGACCGAGCAGCTGCACTTCAGTGCCTGATGGTGAGCGTAATTTACAAACATTTTAATGTTATGGTTTGACAGGATAAGGCCTGTCACGATAATGAATTTTTGTTGTGCGATATATTGTCACAGAAATTCTTGCGATAAGTGAAATTTTTATCATGGCATAAGAAAGCCAAACAAACTGTTATGCTACATAAAATTATTATTCTCCCATCTTCTTTTTCTGGGACTAATTTCTATATGCATCTCCTCCTAGACCATTCATATTACAACCACCAAACTTACTCCAAACCTCCCAACTGATCTGACTTTTGGTTTTCTAAAAACTGAGAGAATTTGGAAAAGTCCAATTGACTTAACATTGGACCAAACTTTGTGACCTCATAACTTTCCACCAGACTGTCATACAGACTTAAGGTTGGGCTCATTTAACTCAGAATACCAATCTGCCAATCACTGATGACCTTTCAACCTACTAGCCACACCCTAGCAACCACTTACGGCACCTTAGCAACTGTCTCATAAACTTCCATTATAAAAAAAAACTGTCATTGACTTTACTTTAGACATACTAACAACATGCCAATTCATACTAGCAACATGCTAATTCATACTATAAACATACTAGCAACATGTTAATTCATACATATTAGCAACATAATTCATACTATAAACATGCTTTTTTTACTTTACTTTTTACTATGAGGATATTAGCAACATGCTAAGTCATACTATAAACATATTAGCAACATGCTTAGTCGTTCTATAAACATACTAGCAACATGTTAATTCATACATATTAGCAACATAATTCATACTATAAACATGCTTTTTTTACTTTACTTTTTACTATGAAGATATTAGCAACATGCTAAGTCATACTATAAACATATTAGCAACATGCTTAGTCGTTCTATAAACATACTAGCAACATGCTAATTCATACTATAAACATACTAGCAACATGCTACTTCATACTATAAACATACTAGCAACATGCTAATTCATACTAAATTCATGGTAACAGCATGCTAGTTTATACAAAAAAATGTTAGCGACATTCTAATTCATACTAGGCATTTTATCTTAGCAACTGCCTAATAACCACTCAAAACACCTAAGCGACTGCTTAGCAACACCTTGGCAACCACTCAGAACACCTTAGCAACTGCCTAGCAACCACTCAGAAAACCTTAGAAATGGCCTAGCAACACCTTAACAACTGCCAGGGCAAGACGGAATCTGCGAACATTTTTAGCTATTTCTGCGGAGAATTTTGGTAAAAATCTGCGGATTTCTGCGGAATTATTTTGGGAGTATCCAGCGGAGTATCATAACTAAAACCTTAATATTTGAAATAAAAAGTAATAAATTACTGAATAAAAACTGAATAAATTCTGATTTACACATTTACTCAGGTAAATAAACAGAATTAATGATGGGGTAAAAATCTACAGAAATCTGCGGAATTCTGCGGAAAATCTGCGGAATTTTGCGCGCACAGATTCCGTGTGGGCCTACCAATGGCCTAGCAGGCACCAAGCAACCACTCAGAACACCTTAAAAACTGCCTAGCAACGCCTTAACAAACAGTCAAAACACCCTAGCAATGTCCTAGCAACCACTCAGAACACCCTAGCAGCCACCTACCAAGAAACATGCCAATCCATACTAGAAACCTGCTAGCATATAGTTCTCTATCTATGCCAACTGTTTCAAACTTGTTAAAACTACTTCAATGATTACATTTTTTAAAGCTACCTCAAACTTTCAGACTCGGATTTCTCAAGCCACCATAAAGTTTGTCTACAATCTTTTCTTTTCTAGTTGTCATTTTGAGATCATTTTATGCCACCGATTATATAATGATTGTATAACAGCATAATTATGCAACTAGCCATAAACACTTTAAAATACTTCTTTAGGTTAATCAGATTCTATACGGTCATGCTAAAACGGTAAATATCCTATACTGTATACTATTAAATGTCCTATTAGGTAAATGCTCAATGATAAACTGTAACACCAGTGAGGAAGACTGTAAATGTCAATGTAAAATGGCTTATTTGTGAATTTGTAAATATATTTTGCTTTGGGAAAAATGATTGAGGTCATCTCCAAGTATTGCACGATAAGTCGATATATTGATTATTTTGACAGGCCTAGACAGAATTGCCGCATTTCTACATTACAGCTTGTTTTTTAAAGATTTTTGCCATGTTGACTGGATAATGGCTGGTAGGATATTAACATTTTGAACTAATGGTAAATCTCTTGGTTTGTTAAACAGTGCTGCCGGGGCTGGTGGAGCGGCCAGCGCTGATGTCTCTATGGTCCGACTGCAGCGGTGGGCTTTTCCACAGCACACTAGACCGAGTGTTAAAGCACATGCATCTCAGCTTTGCCTTAGGACTGCAACAGGTTCTGCCTCACTCTCCTGACTCAGGTACTGGCAGTATAACTCATCTACATCTGCAGTCTGCTGTAGGGCTGCTTATCACTTGGGTTTAAACAGTGGCTGAATCAACATTTAAACAAAAGACTTCCAGACGGATGGACAATATTGAAGAGCACTTTAAAAAATCTGCAATTGTTACCACCGGCTCAAAATTGTAACATTAGAAAGAAAATACGGACCAGGGGCTTCATGTATGAAGACTTGCGTTGAATTTATACTAAAACATTGTGTACGGACCAAGCTGTAAACATGCATACTCAGTAAAAAATTTCGATGTATGAAACACTGCGTTTGCGGAATCCCACCCATGTTCTCTTTGAACAATAAAATATAACGTGAAACTGAGCGCACATGGACGAGCGCAAAACCCCTCCCTGCCTCCTCCCCCTAATAAATATGGTAATGACTCCACTTTGGCAAAACCAAATGACAATCTGTTAAAATGAGACAATATGTAACTTTTTTAAGTATACAGAAATATTACAATATTAGTAAATAAAACGAATTAACAAATTCACCCTAAATCTACAACGACCTAAAAAACTACAAACATATAACACTAGGAAACTGTTAGGGCACGTGTCCATTGAAGCATTTTTTTTTCCGAGGCAGCATTTTTTCAGTGGTTTTCAATGAAAGCACTTTTTTTAAATGTCAGCAGCTCTACTGAGCTTCTGTGTCACATTAAGTGATGAGTGCTCTGCATTTTTATGCTCTCACAGATGGAGAAGCACTCACAGTGAGGTATATACAATTCTGACTTTAAATTTTGTATAAGCCAGCTCAGGTGCTTCCGGTGAACTGTCATGCCATTGTAAATCACCACGTTTGAAATCAACATTCTTCACTGGCTGATTGACATACAATAGGAAGTGGGGATCAGAACGGACATGATTACATCGTTCTGCACCATGTCTTAAAAATAAGGGAAATTTATTTTACCACTGTACTTTCAATAAAGTTTCTGCGCTTGGCATCTGCTCCTCGCGGCGCTTGCTTTTAACAGCCTTTTATCTTGTTTTATGCTTGAACAAACAAATAAATGAATGCTATTTAACTCTTTTCTAATCTGTTTAACTGATTATTTTTTATTCAAATAACATTATCAATGCTGTAAAAGGAAATGTGTAAATTTAAAAAAGTCGGTGGCTGAAAAAGGCTCGTTGTGCTGTAGCCCATTAAGATTTTTTTTAGAGAACGCTGGTGTTTTCAGCTTCACAAAAATTATTTGGTGAACACTCGCCCTTACAAACCAGCTTTAAATTTTAGAAGTTATTTTTGCTTAAAATGATTATTATGAAAAGAGCGGTGAGGTGAGCACCTTCGCCAGCAAGACGGTTGCTGATTCGAGCCTCAGCTGGGTCAATTGTCGTTTCTGTGTGGAGTTTGCATGTTCTCCCAGTGTTTCCTCCGGGTACTCTGGTTTCAGTCCAAAGACATACAGGTGAATTGGGTATGCTAAAATTGTCCGTAGTGTATGAGTGTGTGTGTGAAAGAGTGTGTTAGCGGTTCATTCCGCTGTGGAGACCCCAGATTAATAAAGGGACTAAGCTGAAAAGAAAATGAATGAATGACTATTATGAAATCTCCTGATTTACAATTTGTCCTTCCTCGTTTTTCCGTTTCTTTTCCAACTGAAGCAAACAATTGGCCAGTTCAACACTGACATCTGGACAAAACAAGAAGTGCAAAAGCAACTGATTTCTTTATCTAAAGAAGCGCGTTTTCTTTTATTTCAGCAGAAATGCTGCTTCTGATTTAATCTGTTAGAAAGTATAGAAGGTTGTGGAATCCAAAAATACTGCTGAATCAGAGCGCATGTAACATAAGCATTCATCTGCCTGTGTTTGCTTGTGTGTCCAGTGATCAAGATGGTGGTGAATGAGATGATGGACAGGAGTGAACTGGCCTCCTCCTCAACTTCTCCAGCACAGGACGTCATCACTGTGTTTCAGTTCCACCGCTACATTGTTGAACACTGTATCACAGACATGGAGCAACACCTGCTGGATTTAGCCAAAGAGGGTAAGACGCTTTTGTTTATTGTATCTTAAAGGGAGCATAACACAGACAGTTTCTGTCAATCGTGTTTGCAATTCTTTTCAAAAACATTTGAACTCCTGAAGGTGTGTTATGGACACATGGGTGGGGTTAAAGACTCCCTGGCATGCATTTAGTGGAATACATAATTAACACTTGCGGTAATCAGCCAAACAAATGCATTTACACACACAAAACATCATCGCATTGTCCCTGGATAACTTTAGATCCCCTCTAAGAATGTGTCATTTACATTATAAATACTTACGTGCAGATTGCCAACAAAACAAATAAATACTGTTTTACGCGGGTTTTTTAATATATGGGACAACTCCCTCTTTAAAGGGTTAGTTCCCCCCCAAAAATAAAACAGCGTTATTAATAACTCTCTCCCATGTCATTCCCCTGAGGCCTTCGTTTATCTTCAGAATGCAAATTAAGATATTTTAAATAATAATTGAGATGTTTAAATTCTATAAAAGGAGCCCAAAACGTTCCATGTGACTTCAGTCCTTTAACTGTAATCATACTATCATTTGTGAGCCAAAAGAACTGTAAAAATAGTGTTGTTCAGCAGTGTTCTCCATGTCAAGTCAGGGTTTGTGTTTATTACAGGCAATACATGCCTACAATGCCTGCATGCTGTACTTTCTGACTAATTGCAAAATATATCCTATTGCCTGAAGTAAACACAGATCATAATGCGTTGCAGAAGGAAGACATTGTACACACAAAGTTGCTTTTAACAAAATGTTGGTGCACAAAAGTGTTCTTGGAGCTTCTTACGATTACAGTTGAACCACTGACGAATGTTTTGATAATTTTTTTGGTTCCTTTTCTGAATCTTGAACATATTATGGAGGATGAGGGAGCTCTCTGATTTGATCTGAAATGTCTTAATTTGCATTCCAAAGATAAACGAAGGTATCAGGGTGTTATTATGACATAAGAGTGACAAGTTAAAGACATAATGTAAATTTTTGAGTGAACTACCCCCTTAAGTTTTTAATAATGCACAAATCCAGCATCAATGAGATCCTGGTGTTATTGCCCTTATTCTTTAATCCGGAAGTGCGTCGTTTTTGCGATTGTTTTAGACCACAGGTGTCAAACTCAGTCCCAAAAGCGCCGCAGCTTTGCACAGTTTAGTTCCAACCCTAATTAAACACACCTGATCAAACTAATTGAGTCCTTCAGGCTTGTTTGAAACCTACAGGTAAGTGTTGGAGCAGGGTTGGAACTAAACTGTGCAGGGCTTCGGCCCTTCAGGAATTGAGTTTGACACCCCTGTTTTAGACCTTCCGTTTCAGTTGCTTATGAGAGACATGACTAGGAATAATAAACGGCAAATAACGGTCAAACTACTTGCTTTACAAACAAGTGTTTGCATGACTATACAAACAAAGCAGAATAATATAATCCAAAAATATCAGTTTGCAACATCAAGCAGCAGAACGAGCTGTTTTTAATATCTAATAATGAATGGAAGTAATTGAGACCAGAAGTCTCGAGACAAAATTATTCAAATGGCTGCGCCTGCTCATCCGCGGAAAATAAGGTCAATAGACTATTCATCATGGAGATGCCAGAAACAAACAAACACATATTTACTCCATTGCTGCCCCTACAAAGACAAACCGTATACATGGTTTACTCTGGGTTCTTTGGACAGTTTCAGAAGGTTTTGTTTCCCTCAAAACCAGAAATTCACATCTTTAAAGACATTCTCCTCAAGCAAGTCTGGAGCAGTGCCACCAATATCTTCCTTAACTGAATGAATGAAGGAATGCCCATATAAGGAGTTCCACCTTTTATGACATCATAACTCACCATAATAAAATAAATAAACTCAGCAACTTGAGCAAACCTAGAAGGAAGATTCTTAGAACAAAAATACATCATCATATGAGGAATTTACTTTTTGAAACTTTGACCATGTTTAGTAACTCTAACAGTGTAAATAACTTAAAAATGGGTAGCGCAGTGGGTAGAGCTGTGGCCTCACAGCAAGAAGGTCGCTGGTTCGAGCCTCGGAAGGGTTAGTTAGGGTTGACATTTCTGTGTGGAGTTTGGATGTTCTCCTCGTGTTTGTGTGGGTTTTCTCTTGGTGCTTCAGTTTCCCCCACAATGAATTCAATTCACAATTCACACAGTGAATGAATGAGAGTGTATGGGTGTTTCCCTGTGCTTTGATGAGCTTGTATAAACACACAGACACTCAGCACCACACTTTCTCTCATTCAAACACATACACAAACATAGACAGCACCAAACAAACAAACAAACACACACACACGCTCACACACACTTAGGCCCTCGCAACAGGGAGAGCTCGCGCTGAGCGGAGCAGAAAAACGAAAAAAACTTTAAAAAAAGAAGCACTTTTCCGACGGCCCCTTACTGAGAGCTCCTTTCAGCGCGAGCTCTCCCGGCTAAACACATATTGTGAGGGCTTAAACGGAGCAGTGCTCGTAATGTCGAGCGAAAAAAAAAAAAAAGAAAGACAGCTGTGAAACATAACCAGCTTAGTCTTTTTGTAGGAGACACACTTTAGATCTTTTTAGGGTAAGAGGTTTTTGAGTTATTGCCGTCTATAACTGAATGTGTCAAGAATATCGAAAACAAAACCAACTGAACCGCGCTCATTTCTGGCACCCCCCTGGATGTACAGCGCCCTTAGCATTTGCCTATGGTGCCTATGCCACAGGCCGGCCCTGAGTTGCCTGAGTGTTATAAATACTCGCGCTCACCTCCCTCGCGACAGAGCGCATAGGAGATAAATGACGTCAGTACATAGTAACCGGTTATGATTATTACTGAACTGATACCGAATTGTCCGCGTCTGCATCTCGGTGCACCGAAGAAACAATTAATTTTGACACCCCTAGAATGAATGAATGAATCAATCAATCAATCAAAAATAAAATCAATTAAAATAAGACCTCTCCCACCCTTTAAATGTTATCAGTGCTGTTTTGGCATTGTGTAATCTTTCTCTCCTGTGTCCAAACCAGTCATGCTTGAAGAAGCCCTGAGATGTGGAGATCCAGAACGCTCTCTGAAGGAACTACAGGAAGTGTCCATCACGTGTCTTCAGCCCCGTTCTCAAACTCTATTGGCTGTGGCTGGTCTGCTGACCACTGATGACCCTGAAGTGATGAAGGCCACCTCAGACTTCCTCTCCTCTGCTGCCTCACATCAGCCCTTCAGGTCAAAGGTCAGTCTCTGGTGATTATGGATGTAGCTACAGCTTCATGTTGCAACGTTAGATTTACCATATTTTTAGATGACTTGCCTTGGACTTTTTTTTTTTCGTGGCAACACTATTTGAAAATGTTGTACATGTGGTGCTGCAGTCAATAGACTTAATTGTAATTCTGAGTTGTACAATACAGAAACCCGGAAGGGAACACAAAACATCTTTGCGACGGAACACAAAAACAAAAAATCACTATCACTCTTTTTTTTTCACACCCACTTTTTTTTTCTTCCACCTATTTTTTCCCCACCATCACGTCCCTTCCAGGTCTCTGTAGTACAAGGATGTAAACACTTTTTACCTCGTAATTATGGTATACATACACTTAAAAGTGTGGCGCTGATAATTTATACATTTTTTTTTATGTTTTATATTCGTAATATCAAAGCTGATCATTACTGCATCATTACTTTTGTGTCACATATAATAATATATAATACAAATAATAATAATAACAATAATATATGATACCTTTTGACTATTATTTTCTTTATGATATTTGAAATGTGATGGTTGTAAGAATACATATGGTTGTAAGAATACATATTTTAGTTCACTCATAAATACTTCTTCAAATGAAGGAGTATAATTATATCTAAATACAAATTTAAAACATCATGTTGCGGTATTCAAAAATCATTGTTCCTCAACCACTCTCCGGGAGGAACACCAGCACTGCACATTTCCCATACCTCCTTAATCAAACACACCTGATTCAGATCATCAGCTCATTAGCAGAGACTGAAAGACCTGTAATGGGTCATGGGTGTGCCAGACAAAGGAGGCCTCTAAAACATGCCATGCTGATGGTCCTCTAGGAACATGGTTGAGAAGCATTGCAATAAATGCATATACCCTTGTTGGTGAAGTTCATTTGTATGTGTGTTTGTCTTCCACAGGCTGTTGATTGTTACACACAAGCCTTATCAGAAAGTCAGTTACACACACAGAGAGCTGCATGTGCTGCTCTGAGCTGCCTTCAGGTCAGTGCGGATCACACATCCAAAAAATCTAAATCATATCCGTGATTGGTCACAGGACTGTTATTAAGTCTGCATGTCTGTGGGGTTGTTCATTTCCAGGCTGTGGAGAGCATTGATGCTGTCATTTTACTGTGTGACTCTGTGGATGAAGAGCTCCGGCAGATTGCTATTGAAACCCTCCTCACTTTCGGTAAAGTATCCAGTCACAAAGATTACACATACACTGCAGGATTAGTCAGTGATACTTCTTATTCATGCTTTAAGTGCAAATGAGTTGAAGTCAGGGGGCTCTATTTTAATGATCTAGGTGCAAAGTCTAAAGCTCAGGGCGCAAGGGCATGTCCTAATCCACTTTTGCTATTTTACGGACAGAAAAATCCGCTTTGCACCGCAGCAAATGGTCTAACAGGGTTGAGCTTATTCTTTTAATGAGTTATAGGTGTGTTTTGAGAATAAACCCATCAGAGTGTCATTTCCCGTTCCCTTCAAGAGTCAGTTGCATTGCGCCATAGCGCATTTGCTATTTACATGACAGACTTTGTAAGTGAAAATTGAACGCTTCACCAGCAAGAAAACAGTTAAACAGACCATCTGCAGCACAGAGAATGAGCCTCCTTATTCTTTACTTTCACTTTCTATCGTGGATAAGGAAACGTGTTGTACGCACAGACATCCATTAGCCTCTACATAATTAATTTTGTTCATTAAGCGCAAAGACTTGTTTTAAAAATATTTCTAAATTCAGTTCTAATTCCCAGCAAACAAGTAAATGAACAGTAATAACGAAGTGTGGGCAAAAAACTGAGTTATATTTGAATACACATGCTATGCCCTATATGGAGATCAAGAATGCATGGAGGTGGTGGGTTTTATATTTATGTAGAAAATAATAATTTTCGTAATATTTTAATCCTTTATTTTTTTTTCCTATGTAAAGATATCTGTGTATTGCTGTACATCCTGTGTCTATTAAGCAATGTTTAAGCAAGGTGCACAACTAACACGCTCTGCGCTGGACTGTAGACCCCCTCTCAGCTGGTAATTTGAGCAGTCTATTTTAGTTCCTCAAATTAGCCATGCACCAACAATGTGCCTTAACACGCCTCTTATCTAGACCGAAACACCCATCAGTCCACAAAGGGGCGCAAATGGATTTGCTATTTAAACAACGTGGTGGAAAACAGGAAAATTATGGTCTGAAAGTAGAAACACGTCAAAGAAACACATCTTTGTGCCTTATTGCACAGGGGGTATGATAGGGCCCAGAATGATTAGCTCTCCTGTCATTTTATTTTTCTTGTTTAAATATTTTCCAAATAATGTTTAACAATGCAATAATTTTTTTACACTATTTCTGATATTATTATTTGATCTGGGAAAAGTCTTATTTCGGCTAGAATAAAAGCAGTTTAAAAACATTAATATAATAGCTATATATATATTTTTTTTTTGATTGTCTACAGAACAAACTACTGTTACACAATGACTTGCCTTATTAACCTAACCTAAAAAAATACAGGGGGGCAACTTTAACTGTAAATCTGACTGAAACCCCATTTTGGACATCTCTGCATTACATATTACATTGATGTTATTAACAATATTTGGTCTCTTTTCCCTAAAGAGAATCTTTTTTTCTCTGAATTTATTATGGTTAATCTCAACATTTTATTTTAACTCAAAGTGTCCAAAAGTAAGTTTCTTGAAACAAAAATTTATTCTCAAAATTTTGTGAGTTTATTCCCAACATTTTATAACAATTTGTTTCTTAAAATGTAAAGAGTTTTTTCTGAAACAACTTCATTTTCAGAAGGTAATAAGTTTATCCTCAAATTGAATTCTGTCAGTTTAATCTTGTATTAAAATGACTTTAATCTTGGGATGGTTTAGTTTTTGTTATTGCTTGTCCCGAATCCTCATCTGTACTATAGTAATAGTGAAAGTTAGATTTTGGGCTGCCTCAAATTAATCAATGTATTAGAAACTCTGTACGTATTTTTAATGGCACATCAAATGTTTTAGCATTTTTATTTCCTCAAATTTAGATAAAAAAAGAGGATTCAACAGGACAACCCAATATAATTAATGAACTTAAAAAACTGACAAAAAATGAACAGTGTTTCAAACATTTCTACAACACCATTAAGTGAACAGTTCATAAATAGAAAATAATAATCAATCTCTTTTTTATTATAAATCATTCATATTACAAGGTGACCCCGGTGAGTATTAAAATTAATAAATCAATTTAGAGAAATGTAAGGCCCTAAAAGAGTTTAAAAAGTCTTAAATGCTATTTTACAAGATAATACATTTGATATCAGTAAGCTAAAGTTTGCCTGAATATCTTTGAATATTGGGATGCTGTGTTTTTATGAAATCAAACAAATCTTGCTAGAATTGACATCACGCTGCTTTGTTTACTGCAGTAACCGGGAAAACACTGTTATTCCTGCTGTTGTATCCTGCTTTTTAATTTAGTATAAAAATACAGTTTTAGTTTAGGATTCCTTTCTTGCAATCAGTATTCAGTATTAGTTAAAACCTGAAGTGGTGGTGAGATCTTAAAACGTATGCAAAGATTCTTAAAAGGTATTGAATTTCAGTCTCTGAATATATACCCTGCATTATTATAATAAATCTACCTGGTGTCAATTATTCCATTTGAGGAATTGTTGTTGTCAGAGTATCCCAATGCACAAGCTTCAAAAGGCACTCTGCACTGTTCTGGGAAAAGGGGCGGAGCTCATTTGCATTTAAAGAAACATACACAAACAGCATGATATGTTACAACATGATCTGTTTGTTTGCTCAGGTGAGGATGGGCGGCTGGCATACGAGCAACTGGACACCGTCCCGAGGGAGATGGTGCGGCTGGGCACTCGGCGTGGAAATGCGGTGACCACTTCATTTTAGAGAAAATACAAAAACTGGAGATGGAAAATGCATACAACCTCCTATCAAGGAGAAAAGTGAGGCCTCGACTTCAATATCATGAGAACTTCTTCACAGGGCCTATTTTTTGCAGGAAGTAATTGTTGCTGGTTAAACAAAGAGTGTTTATAATTGGCAGTTGTTTGCAGTCGCACTGTCAGAAGCGTGTAAATAGCACAGCATATTACATTTCAAGTTTTTTTTTCCTGGGATTTTTGTTGCTCTTTATGTTTCAGGGATTATAAGGGACCGTTTTAACAAGGAACCGAGAGAGAGACTTTTAGATTTCAGGTGTTGTTCAAACCCAGCCGGTCATACGGACTACTGAAAACGTGACACGGACTGGTTTATAAATCGCTCGCTTGCCTTCACTTTTCAGGAGGAAGTATTTCTTTGGACGGAGCCTTTAGTGAACAAACGCATTAACATGGTACTAATGCCTGGGCACATGGGACGGTTCAACAAGGGCTGGTTGGAGCCCGTCGGAGTATCTGAAAATGCACTTTTACATTCAGTCAGAGAAGCGTGATGCATTACTGTGAATTCTGGTTTGTGCGTAAATGAAGACTGGAAGTCTATTTGCTCTGTGATCTGCGAACTCGCTTCTGTGCCTCTTGTTACTGTACTACTGAGTCACGTGACTGTAATATCATTTATTTATTTTTCACATTTTCCTCAGTATATATGCTAAAGATGCTGATTTCACCTTCAATTTGTTTTTGCATTTTTTTGTTTTTTATTATGAGAACAGATTGTATTAATGGCCTACTAAAACATTCAAGATATGAATCGTCACAGGTTTGGTACTGAGGGGCTATTTAATATTCAATAATTTTTTTACATACAGTATATAGTTAGCATTTTACATATAGAAAACGTTTTATTAATCATTTTCATATTTTAATGGTGTATTCGCTGGGTTAAACAGTGTTTGTGCTCGAGGAAACATTTCCTGAACGTCTTTTCAGTATGGTTATACAAAACGCTCTTTGCTTAGCTGACGCTTGCCTCGCTTCGTGACGTTTACACTTCCTGTGTTGACCTCGAAAGCCATGGAGCCAGATCAGTCTCAAAATAAAGTTCATCCAGCCACAACATAATTCACATTTATAAAAATATGCTAATTCATTTTGGAAGCTTAAAACAAGATTCAAAAATATGCTTAAAATGCTAATGTGATCCGGAAATTTAAAAAAATTATTTAAAAATATGCAAATCCAATTCATAAATAAAAAAAAGCGATTAAAACATTTGCAAATCCGGAAATAAAAAAAATAAAAAACACGCAAATCCAATTCAAAAATGTGAAAAAATACGCAAATCAAATTCATGAATTCAAAAAACGATTAAAAAATACGCAAATCCAGAAATAAAAAAAATAAAAACTAAAACACACAAATTCAATTCGTAAATTCTAAACACAATTAAAAAAATAGGCAAATCCAATTCATAAATTCAAAATACAATAAAAAATATGCAAATTCAATTTTTAAATTCAACAAAACAATTCAAAAATACACAAATCCAATTTGTAAATAAAAAAACTATTTAAAAATACGCAAATTCAATTTAAAAAAATCATTCCAAAAAACAATTCCAATTCATGAATAAAAAAAAGGATTCAAAAATACGCAAATCCAATTTGTAAATTCCAAAAAAAATAAAATAAAATAAATAAAATAAAATAAATATATATATATATATATATATATATATATATATATATATATATATATATATATATATTAAAATGTGCAAATCCAATTTATAAATTAAAAAAAAAAAATTTAAAATATGCAAATCCAATTTGAAAATTCAAAAAACTATTAAAAAATATGCAAATCCAATTCGGAAATTCCAAAAAAAAAAAGATTCAAAAACATGCAAATCTAATTTGTAAATTAAAACACAAATACAATTTATTTGTGGAAAATATTTGATTATCACTTGTGAGTTCATGAATTGGGTTTACGAATGTACAAATTGTATTTTGTAAATGTGAATTGTTCGGTGCATGTATGAATTTTATTTTTTAAATGTATTATTTTTGAAACTGATCTGGCTCCATAAAAGCTCTCAAATGTGAATTTACGCACCTATTTTTCTAGATTTTCTATAACATGAAAAATTGTGTGATCACAGGGGCCTAGATCCATCAAACAAAAAAAGCACATTTTGAGGAATGTACTGAACGAGTATAGAAAGGTTACTGTATATGCCTCACAAGCACAAACATTTGGGGATGACGGTTTTCTATTGCACAAAGTCCTAAAGCCATACAGAATAATACACATATTTAAGGCCGTTTTGTGGTTTCTATTTATCAGAATTATCTAAAACGGATATTCAAAATTTACTTTTTTCCCCCGCATCGAGTCATGTTTTCTCTTGCTTTGAGTTTGTCTGTTGACCACCGTTACAGTATTTTGACCCTGGGCATTGATGATCACTCCTTGAATTCCTTCTTTGCACAGAGATATCAAGGGAAAAGGTTGAACTAACGTTTAATTGCCTTGTTTTCATCTCAGACAGAAGCTCAGTGAACTGCTTTGTTCAAACCTCATGATAAATGTAAATTAATGTCGTCGTTGATAAGAAAGCTGTTCTTATGGTTTTGTGAGTGTGTCGAGGGCTTGAGTGCACAGCTTGCCATTGCAATAGCTTTAGCTAATACTGTCTGAATGAAAGCATATTTCACTCAATGTCACAATGCTTACGTTCCCTCGCTGTTTCCTTTTTCCTTGGTTTACTGTATTTCTGCTGAAAGTGGCAATAAAATTTATTTTTGCATAATAATCAGATATGGAGTTCTGTTTTTATTAGATATAGTGCAGCTATTCACAGCGCCCAGCATGAACAAGTTAACCCACTTCTGACCTCATTTATTACACTTTCTATGGGAGGCTAAAGATTGACGTATACTTATTACATTAGTCTGCATAAAAGATTATGAATATGAAATGATCATGTTGAAGAAAAAAAAAAAAAAAAGTGGAGGAAATGTTAAGAAATTAATTAAAGTCCATCAATTTCTTTAAATAACCCAAAGATGCCTCTTCTGCTTTAATATATGACATTAGCACAATAGGGCACAGGTGTCAAACTCAAAAGGGCCGCAGCTCTGCACAGTTTAGTTCCAACCCTAATTAAACACACCTGATCAAACTAATTTAGTCCATCAGGCTTGTTTGAAACCTACACGCAAGTGTTGGAACTAAACTGTGCAGGGTTTCGGCCCTCCAGGAATTGAGTTTGACACCCCTGCTTTAGGGCTACATTTAGAAGCAGAGAGAGCACCGATGTATTTCTAAAGCAATGGAAAAGCAAATGTGTACAAAACCGGCGTTTATTTCCATCATATGCACTCAAGTTTACATATGTACACTGGCAGTATACATGCACAACTACAGATAGTGAAAATAAAAGCTCATTTACAGCAAAAGAAAAAAAAAAAAAAAAAAAATATTAAAATAAAAAAAAGGTGCACATTAGTTCTGAAAGGCAAAAGTTAAACATTCATCACTTCAGACCAAACAACTGGTCTATCAAGGCGGTTTTCAGTTCACTTTCTCATGTCAGCTTTCTTCTGTTGCAGAATCGTTGTGTTTTATGGACCGTTCTGGGTTTTCTTCAGTGTCTTGACTTTCATCAGCTTCACCCTCACAGTCATGCTCCTGATCCTCATCTTCATGTTCTTCCTCATCTTCATTTTCATTCTCCAACTCCTCATCTTCAGCATCAAAGGCAATCTCACGCAACTCTTCTAGATTGTCTGGACTTTTTCCAGTTAATCTCTGAGAATGAGGAAGAATTGAGACAGGTTACATCTTAGCAAAGGTGACGCCACTGATAACAGCCGTAGAGAATGAAGCACTCACTTCGATCATGTCTGCCATGTGTTGTACATGCTGCGCCAGTTCCTGCAACTCCTCATTCTCAGTCTTCAGCTGAGCAATCTGTTCGTCTTTGGCTTCAATGTCTTTATGCAACTAATTTGGAAACAGGTGAGCAAAGGCACAATTGAATAACGTTCTTTCCAGAACCTAGAATATGGTAATAACATTCACTTTATTTAATAAACAATCTGTCTTTTATACAAGTTGAACTAAGTGGTGACAACCACAACATCTACACATCTGATTTTCAGAGCAAAGAATTTGGTTTGTCACTTGTTCAGTAGTAATAGGATATTTTAGAGCCAACTAAGGGTGTTATAGAGTGGGTTGATATCTGCTGATAATGCAATGGTTTCTCCATTTCCTGCGATCACACAGGAAGTAACAAAGGCCTTCAGCTCACTCTTAATGCAAAGTCATCCAGCAGCCCAACAGACTAATCATTAGCAAAAGTCAACTTTTAGTGAATAGCTCACCTTTTCATTCTCCTGGAGAACACTGAACAAGGCTTTCCTCCTTTCCTCTGCCACCTCCTTCCAATAGGAGGAACCAGGAGTTTCTGGAAAACAAAGCGCATTTAAAAAAAAAAAAACAATCATCAATAGTTTAACACCTGGAGATGAACTACTAATTTTCACTGATTTCTTATGAGAGTTCATCCCCAAAATCATGTATACACATCCTCATGTGACTCTTAATTTTTATGAGCTTTTTTTGTAGAACACAAGATGTACAGTGGTCTCTCACTATAGCACTGTTCACCTTTCACAGCGGTGTGGATTTTTCCATGTAATTTGACATACTTTTTCTCCTACAACGCATTGTTCTGCGTCCTGACTGGCTGCAGACCATTGTCAATCAATCTCCTCCGCGTTGCGTCGCCTGTACAGTATGCGTTCAGCTTGCCATATTGAAAATCTCTGATCGCTAGCTGTGACTCTGAAGTGCTGTACTGCATGTTTGCTAGTTATCTTCCCACAATGTTGACTAAACATTCTGCACCATCAAAGGCACCTGCATGCAGTAGTACCCAATAGGCAGAGGAAGATGCTATAATAAAAAAAAAAAAAAAAGTTGAACATCTGGAAATGCTAAAGAAATGTAGAAGTTACGCGGCTGTAGGGTGCGTAACACAAGTGTATAAAGTGTGTAGTGATGGGTTTTATAGCTATAATTGTTGAAAAAAAATGGTCAAGAGGAGAGAAAAAAAAATTAAAAGAGGGGCTTTAACCCAATGTGTTAAAGGAATAAACAATAGATGTCTATTCAATGATACAAATTAGACTTGTTCACAAAACTGGAATCTAAAAACGTCTGTGAGTAAAAGCAGTTTCAATAAAAAAAAAAAATAATAATAATAATAATAGTCACCTTTTTTAGGCTGGGAGAGGAAAAAACAAAAAATAAAAAAGCGGGCCTAACTTCTTATAATAAAATTAGTTGTCCCTCCAAACTTGACAAAAATCAAACAAACAAAACACCTCATTTGATTTAGTTTTTTTTTTTTAGGAACGAGGATCTTTTTGAGAGAGCAGCTGCTCCAGACAATTCTGGAGGTAACAAACAGAGACACAATTTCCCAAAGGTATTTTAAAATGACCAAACAGTTGAGGTGTTTCACAATGTGGTTAAGAGTTTGTCCATTAAATGACATCCTATCACACCTTTATGTTTATACTGAAATTTATTCGATAAATATGTTTCCATAGTGTATGCACTCTTTTTGAGGAGAATTTAATTTATTTACTCAATTTATGCACGTCTTGGCATTTCCATTAAGCTTTCTTTTAATGGAGATGTTCCAAAATTAGCAGAAATGGGTAGATGGAAACATGGATAATGATGAATTTGGCATTAACTGGGCCATCATTCAAATGAGTCCAATTAAACATCTGACTGGTTACCTTTGATCATGAGCTCATAGGCCTCTTGTGTGACCCCCTCAGGCTGGTTTTCATTTTCTGCATTTGTGGATTTGACAGCCACCTCTGCTTTGACTCTCTTTGAACCCTTAACTTGCTCGGCGCTCCACATCTTCCTTTTGGCCACTGCTTTACCATTCTGAACACAGAAAAGTTCATTTTAAACATTTAAGAAGCACGAGATGACAAAATCCAGAAAACAGCACCGCCACCGCTAAAAATATACCTCAATTATACGACCAAGGTTTTTGTTTACAGCAGAGGGCTGAAGCACCTGAAGCGTCCTCCTCCCCATTCCTGCTCCAGATGTTGGCGCTACCAGGAATTTCTGAGAAAACAAACAGTTAGCCTTAATCTCAGGTGTCACAACAACAAAACGAGACTGAAAATAAAGGCTTATTTCGGTGAGAATGAGTCAAGCAACTATCCAACACAGTTACAGGCTCCATTCACCTGCCTCAACAGTCATTCTTCTCTTCTTACACTTGTTAAGCTGGCAGTGAGAGATGACAAGCAAGGTTTCTGAGCAACTCCACATATCAGCGTTCTAACAAAGCGTGGGAAAGGGGCAGGACGCGCATCAGCTGCATGCCGAAAACACCTCCAATTCCCACGGGCAGCGATTGGACCGCTGACATTATTATCTGACTGAAACATTCTTTAACCTGTAATTACTGTGGGAACTCGCCACTGAAGTCTCCTTATGACCAACTGCAAGTTTAGAGTTGGTTAATGTTTTCACTTGAACCATACAGGTGGCAGACGGATGCACGGTTACTGGCTTTCAACACACTGCCAATGATTAATACGTAGACCGAGGAGGGTCTCCGCTCAGTTTGTTCTAAATGGGAAACTTGACTAAAGTTGAAAATAAGCAATTTGATGACATTTGATAAAGCTGGCCGTTTTAGGGTGTTAAAATTTGTAATTTGAGTTCCTGGTTTTATAATAATAATAATAATAATAATAATAATACACATGTAGCTCATGTTTACTTGGATGTTCACATTAATAATCAACAGTGGAGAGAATAAAACTAATAAATGCAATGTCATGTGTAGGGCTAAACGTTGTACATGCACAGATGTGGTATTTTTAATCAATTGAGAACTAAGGGCTTGTAAAAATAAAAATAAGCAAAATTCTGTCCTTTTCTAGACAATCTCATCCAGTTTAAACAGACAATCATGTATCCATAATGTCAAACACTACCAATATTTGTTCAGTGGTTTTTGTCTGCTTGTTTGGTGTGCATAAACTATCGTAATCAAAAATGGCTAACTGTAAACTACCTTAGCCAACTTAAATCTGGAATTACTTGTATGGTTACAATTTTGAAGAGGCTAATAAGGATTTATTAATCAAACTATGTGAATGGTGGATTATCTGAAACATTCATTAACCCACAATCATCTAATGGAACACTAGAGCCTTTAAACAACAACATACTTAAATCTAAATCTGGCAGTTTTAGGATGTTAGAATTTGAGTTTGTTTGGTTAATAAAAAATTAAAAATAAAAAGCAACATGTAGCTGTGGTTTACTTGGATGTTCACAAATGTCAACAGTAGAGATGATTAATTTTTTTTAAGTGTCAATGTCATGTGCAGGGCTAAACGTTCTTGTACAGGTGTAAATGTGATATTAGTCAGCTGAGAACTTAAAGGGCTTGTAAAATACATAAATATGCAACATTCTGTCCTTTTTACTCTTTTCTTGACATCTCATACAGTTTAAATCAGTCGAACCCTGCAAATTTTTGTTTAGGGTTTTTTGTCAGCTAGTGTGGGATGTAAAAATCACAATCATTATCTTCATCTAAAATGGTTTACTTTTAACTACTTTAGTTAACTGAAACAATCTGGAATTACTTCTATGGTCACAATTTTAAAGATGCTAATAAGAGTCTATTAATTAATCTATGGAAATGGGAGATTCTCTGAAACACTCACAAACCCCCAATCATCTAATGGAACACTAGAGCCTCCAAACGACAACATTCTTAAATTTAAAGGTTAACAGGCTCTGATCTTATCTCGGCTTAGCTGATCTAATTAAGTTCAGTCACATACCTTGATGTTTTCAGACGGGTTTTCTGCATTCTTTGGTCTTCTGATGGAACTCATACTTGCACCTGGAAAGTTACATTTCAGTAATTCAGTAATAGTTTTGATCGGAACACGTAACGTTATCCAAAGTCCAGAAGAAACGAGTAGTCTTCACTTTTCTTGCCACCTTACTTGGGGTACACTTAATGCTGCTTATGCACACCCGATTGTCTATTTATAGTTTTCTCAAAGTAACGTTACACACTGGATTTGAAAAAGCGCTAAAATAAAATATGAAACAATTTCTTCACAGAGTAAAATTAATAATTTGACCCATTAGTTAACGTGAGAAGATAATTAACCAGACGTTAAACATAACAAACCCTACAGGTATAATGAACACTACTCACAAAGTTACATAAACTTTAAGAATAATACACTAAAAATATTAAATTGTAAAAACAAAATCCAAGTAGGCCTCACAGTCTGTTCCCATACATGTCGAACTATATATAATGTTACGCTTACATTTACAAGCACGTTGCGGATCTTAAACTGAACGTTAAGCAGTAATAACTTATCGAAAGCAAAAACAAAACAAGATATTTAAAGCTAACACTTACTTAATTCACAATACACTCGCTCGCTTCACAAAAACATACACAGAGCAGCACTAGTTTGTGTGTAAAGAGCGCGCCACTGGCTTAAGTACTGCCCTTCTGTCGTCACGTGACGCCGGAATTCGCGCGTACTGAGACTGCGTGACATAAACAAACAGAGCAGTCTCGTTATTTTCATCATTTTTTTTATTTTCAGCAATAAATTATTAACATTTAACATCTATTGTCAAAACATCGAGTATGACTAAAACTGAAAAAAGCATAGCTGAATTTTGTGATGGTGTATTGATTTTATATTTGTTGCTTATTACTATATAACTGAATGTTAATAAATTAAATTTCTGAATATAATAATTTAACCAAGAGATATATCGTGTCCGTTCATATACTCCAAAGTATCTATGCCAAAGTTTTGAACCTTTGCCTAGAGAGGGTTACATTTTTAAACACAAAAGTTTAAACCCAAATATAATCATACATCTATCTAGTATAACATTATACAATTAAAATGCAATTTTAGAAATTATCTAAATTATTTAAAGTATTTATTAATTTCAAATTGACATTATTATTAATTTGAATACAATTTGTATTTATTTGTTTTTATCAAATGTACATGCAATTATCTATCTTTTTAATGGCATATTTGGGTCAAATATGTTTTTAAATATTAGATTATTTCATCAAATTTGTTTGTATTTGTGTTTATTAATTATTTTAAAGTAATAATTTTGCATATTTATGCTTTTCTTCAAACATTAAATTCGAAACCCCCTGATTTAGCAGTATTATAGACATTAATATACATGGTTGTGTGGTAATTATTAAGTGATTTAAAACAGAAAAATTACGGAGTATTATATAAAGATTGGGTTGTGCACAAACACAAAAACGCATGCGTCTAAATAAAACGTGTCTCACCAACACTCCCCTACATAATAAATCTAGCTGACAGCAGCGCGCGCTCCTCCTCTGTCACATGTGCACAGCTGCGTGACGCGCATCGGCCATTTTGAGTTGTTTGTTCAGCGAGGAGCGCTTGTTATTTTCCAGACAAACGCAGATCAAAGTCCGCAACAGCCGAAAGAGTCGCTCGAAAGACATTTCACCCTTTCCTTCCAGCATTATGGGTCCACCGCGATGCAGATCCCGCCGTCTGTTACCTGAGAGAACGGAGGATTTCGGTCGGTTTGTCAGTTTATCTTGACATGGCATATACGGGTGTGTGACGACTGTAGAAAAGCTCGAAAACAAACGGGAGACCATCAAGCTAAACCTCCGTCGGGGATCGATCATCCATCCGGGGCGGGTTTTTTTGTACTGAGACCGGTGTATTAAGACGTGTTAGCATTGTTTTGCGGTACTTGCTCGGGTCGCGACGGGCTTGGAAATCCAATCGAGAAACAAAATGAAGAGAAACAATAGTTAGCCAGTTAGCAAGCCACGCATCGAAGCCAAGTGTCTACTAGCGTCGCGGAAACAAATTCGAAAACAGGCAAAAACAAAATGTAACAGTCGGTTTATTGATCAATACTAGCTTTTGAATGCTCTCGTAGATTTTATACTGGATATAAAAGAGATGTAGCTCCCTTCAGCCAGGTTATCAGTCGGTTGTTGAGTGTGTATTCAGCTTAGCTAGCATTAGTTTGCTAGCCAGCCACAAAATAAAAGCCTCACAATGAAACTCAACCGTGGCAGGAGAGCTCGTGGGCCCATTTTATGCCCTTAAACCCCAAGATGTCTATCAAACTCTGCGTTCTTACTCCGTGCCAAGATCTCATGGCATCTACATTTCTCTGCCATGGTTGTCTTTCTCACCTGTCATTCAGATGTGCTTTTGTGAGACCGTTTATACAAAGACATGGATACAAGCAAGAATCAATCCTGGAAGAGACTTTGCAAAGTCAAATCTATTGGTCAGCTTTTTAGATAACTTTAAGTAAGATTTCTCTATCTAAATCCAGGGATCTGTCCCCTCACACATACACGGACGCACACACAAAATTGTCAGTATGGATTTTCAGTGTAGCAGGCATTTGTGTTTCCTGTCTTTTGTTCAGTGATACAATACAGACTCTCATTTAAAAAAAGACTAACCAGGTCGTGTTATATGAGTGATTTCTTTTAGTTTACCCTTAGCCTTGACTTGATGTTTTAAAAAATGGTGTAACGCATCAAAACTTAGACAAGTGCAAACTTACTTGGCCCAAGTGCACTACCGATATTGATTAAAAATGAGTTGATTTGATTATTGCTAACTTTCTTTAACTCAAATTGGTATGTAGTGCTTGGTTATAGCTTCTTTAGTTTTTAAAAGGGTTTGAAAACAAAATAGTCTACAGTCGAGACAATAAAAAGTGAAAGAAATATTTAATAAAAAAAAGTCTGCATAAGGAAAATAGTACTGTCCGTAAAAATGGGTGACCCAAATTCTCGACGGAATCAAACACGAAACCGACTCCGTGCCCAGCTACGGAAGAAACGGGAATCTCTGGCTGATCAGTTTGACTTCAAGATCTACATTGCCTTTGTATTTAAGGAAAAGGTATGTACATCTAAACGATATGAATTTGTTTGAAAAATGGACTGGCGTGGTTCTAATATCTCACTTTTTTGCAGAAAAAGAAGTCCGCACTCTTTGAAGTAGCTGAGGTTGTACCTGTGATGACCAACAACTATGAGGAAAATATCCTTAAAGGCGTGAAGGATTCGAGCTACTCCTTGGAGAGTTCTTTAGAGCTTCTCCAGAAAGATGTGGTGCAGTTACACGCGCTGCGTTACCAGTCGATGCGTAGAGTAAGTGTCCACACAAATGCTGTGCACTTTCAGCATAGGCAGTTAAAGTTTAAACCGCCATCGTAATTGTCTGTGTTGTCTAACTACACCATATCATGTCATTTGAGATCATTTTGTTTCTAAATTTGTCCAGGATGTGATAGGTTGTACCCAGGAGATGGACTTTATCCTCTGGCCCCGCAACGATATTGAGAAAGTTGTCTGTCTCCTGTTCTCCAGATGGAAAGGGGCTGAACATGAACCATTCAGGCCTGTTCAGGTATGTGTATGTAATACTTGTTAAAAGTTTAAACACTACATATTCATACTAGTGCTGAATAAATTGATAAAGTAATGGCGTAGGGTTTAATCAGATTCTAATTGGTTATACTTTATAACTTTCCACAGGCCAAGTTCGAGTTTCATCATGGAGACTATGAAAAGCAGTTTTTGCATGCTGTTGGCCGGAAGGACAAGGCTGGGATGGTTTTGAACAACCCCAATCAGTCTGTCTTTCTCTTCATGGACAGACAGCATTTACAGGTTGGTCAAGTAAATCATGAAAGTGTAAATGGTCAGTGGATAATTTGTAGATAAGTTTGAATATTGACACGTCTGATATGCTTTTTACTTACCTAACAGAACAAGTAGCCTCATAAAAATGTTAGTAATAAAAAATAACAAGGGAAGCACCAAAACTTCAGTGAGGCTGATAATATATTGAAAGTTTTCAGTTGAGGTCTTCAAGTTTTCCTGTGTGAAAGAGAATCTTGTGAGGACATCAAAACGTATGAATACAACAGAACACACAAACTCACTAAAAATACTATAGAATTTTCACATTATGATTTTATATTTATAAAACAACAAAGAGTGGTGTTTTATGGATAATCATTAAGCTGACATGGCATTAAATAAAATGTGTCATCATGAACAATAATTTTTAAGATTTTGACCTAAAATGATGCATAAGATGGCCATCACAAAGGCAAAATTGCAATAATAATTGGTACATTTGCTTGGTTTTGTTTCAAAACGGCTTTTTATAATGATCTCGCTCCAATCTCCATTCACACTATATAGCATAAACCTACATAAAATATACACATAACCCATAAAATTGCCACTTACTACTAGGCATGCACAGATTTTGCGACCATCTGTACTTTGTCTACTGGTTGTGTAATGGTCATATGAGAGGGGCTTGACGAATTAGAATGACACAATAGTCCAAAAGACCAGTCATTAAGTAATTGCGGATTCCTGTGTCTGTTTTCAATAGTTTGAATTTTAATTAATCTAGAAAATTATTGTTTCTGAACTAAAGCAGGGTCTTTGGGGTTTTTAAAAGGCTTTATTTTAGTGGACACCATTATCTTAACTAGACTAATGCTTTTAAAAGTGTAAACACACTAGTGTGAACGGCACCTTATTCTTAAGCCCCGCTGAATAATGTTGCTAAACTTGCATTACTCTAATTTTTTTACAGTATACTAAAGGTATTTATAGATTCTGTTGTTCTGTCAATACAAATATAAAATAATCCAATAATACATGTTTGGCTTGTAATGACCATAATTTGATTATTAGTTAATTTGTAACAGACCATTTCAATGTGGTGTCATTGGCCCATGATCATTTCCTGCATGTTGTCCGTATTTCATAGCTGTAACAAGAGGCAATTTAATCACACATTCACATTAATAGCACTATCATAACATTATTTATCAGTATGTGGAACTTTTTGCATTCTCTGAAACTATGGAAAATAAAAATGTTAAACGAAATACGCAAGGACCGTTATTATTGTTTACATTCATCAAAATGGTCTACAGGCTTCATAACCCCCAAATATTTTAGCATTATGTAGTATTTAAATACAACTCGTTTTTAAATGTTTATTTATTAATTTTTTCCCCCCAGACTCCAAAAACCAAGCTCACAGTTTTCAAGTTGTGCAGCCTCTGTCTCTACCTGCCACAGGACCAGCTCACCTGTTGGGGAGTGGGAGACATCGAGGACCACCTCCGTCCATACATGCCTGACTAGGAGAAACGCACGGAAGACACCCCTCAAGGCCTCGAAGCAAGTTGTCCTTATCTACACATCCCTCAGTTGAATAGAATTGAACTTGTGCTTGGAACTCTCCTTTTTGTTAACCACTCATTTTCATCTTGAGATTAATTTAGCTCCCTTTCCTGTTTTTTTGTTTTGTTTGTTCCTGTTTCCGTTTTTTGTTTTTTTAAATCCCTCACCAAACAATCTTGGTTTGGCTCATCCCATCTCCCCCCTCCCTCTTTGATCAGTTTTTATTTTGAATCTGCATGAACATTGATTTTGAGTGGTTGTTCTCTTGGAGCCGCACTGTCAACAATACCAGTCACTGAAGGAACTCTTCACATTAAGAAAAAAAAAACAAAGAAAAAAATATGAGAATAAACAATGACAGAAGTCTCTCACATGAGTTGGACTGGTTTTAACATCGCTGTCATGAGGGATAGTTAAGATGTCTCTTATTTTGAGTAGGGATTTCATGAGTAACGACAATCGGTGACAGAGGACAAAAGAGCCTGGGTTGTCTTCCAAGGCTTTTGTTTTAATATTTCAAGGCGAATACTTAATTCATTTGGTGTAGGCATTGCTTCTCATTCAGTTCCTGCCTTAGTTTTTGCTGGACATTTGTTTAATTTGAGTGTCATTCCTTGCCTATATTATGTTTTCTCATTTCTGGAGGAGTTGTGCCCGATGGGGACGGAGGTGAAGAGTGTGATTTTTATATCCTAGACATAAATTGTCTGTTGGAGGAATTCTGATGCTGTGTTTTTCTTGGGATGCTAATTGTCAACAGTCGAGCTTTTCATGCACTATATACATATGAGCTACTGACACCAGATGTACACATTGGTGGTGGGTTATGTGATGGGAGACTGACGCTTTTGTACCTAATGAGAAATTTCATTTGGAGAAACTTGAAATGGATCATTATGGATTTATTTCTTCTTTTATATAGACCACCCTGCTCTTAGAGTACTAAATATTGCAGTGCTTGGGACTTGGTATCTGTAAGCCATCCTTTTCGGTTCATATGGCATAAAATCTTTAATTTTTTTTCCCTCCCTTTTGAAATTCTAAGTTCACGTTGAAGGGGAAAGTGGGTCTTTTGTCTTTATTTTGATGTACCCATTGTTTGAATAATTCTGTTGAAATAAACACTGCTGAACATATCCTAACACGGTGTAACATAATTTGATGCCAGACTTTATTACGTAACATTAAGGCAGACATAATATACAGGGCATGTGCGTAATTAGCTGCCGAGGTGTTTTGTGTGTCTTCCCTGAGCGATGAGTTTTCCGTTGGCCTTGTTGGTGAGATCTACTGTTGCGAATGCCAGAGTCCGTCCTTGTTTTAAAACCTGTGCAGTGATCAGGATGTCTTCTCCAATTTTAGCGGCATTCATATATCTGTTCAAATCAAAACAAATGAAAGAAAATGAGCAGTCTGTCCACATAATGAAGTAGAAAATTGGCTATTTTTTGCATTATTTTAATTTAAATCCAAGTAAAATTTCTACATTTCTCTATAGAGACATCATTAACAGGCTTCGCTGCAAAAATAAAAAAATCAACATTTGCACCATTGCAAGGGAAGAAATACAATGAGATATATATATACATAGCTAATGTTTTTCAGCCAATGATGGTCATCCGATGAGAGCTTTATGTGACTTTTCAATTTTATAAGGTTACTTTTACAGCATCAATGTTGAAATGTAATTCAAATATAATCCGTTAAATAGACTTCAGCATCTATTTGGTTGTTAATATAAAAAGAGACGAAAGACCCAGGTGCCGTCATTAGTAGCAAGCTAGCACTGAAACTCCATTAAAAATATTGGGGTAAATATAATTTCCATATTTTAAATACATTTTGTGGGAAAATAGATTTTAATGGAGTGCTTCTTGTTAAGACTGAGACCCACTTTATATTGCATCTCAGCCAGGCAGTGAAGATCATTTATTTATTTGCTTTTGGTTTAAGCTGAAAAATCGTACATGTAGTTATGGATTGTTTAGCATTTACACTAAATAAACTGGCCAAAATTACCACTATATATAATTGAACTTGATTAAATTTCTTGCATAGTTTTATTGTAGTTTTATTTGTATACTTCTATTTTAATAAAATATAACACAATTGTCAACAAGCAACTATTAAAAATGTATTTATTAGTGAATAATTCAAGAGATTTTTTACAACTGCAATCTTAAACCAGTAATGAAATGTTAAATCAGGGAAATCTCAATCTCTCTTATAAAACAAACAAAGAAATAAAGATTCTCACCTCATCCAGAATCATTCAGCTCTAGGTCCTTTTATAAGGTCACTAATATGTTCATCCAATCTAGCACCAAATACACTTTCTCTCCAAATAAGTAAATTAACCCTGGGATTAGGAATGTACACAGTTTGTCTGTTGAGTCTTAAATTTCAAAAACACAATTTTAGGCCTTAAAAGTCTAAATTAGCCTAAATATTGCCTTGCATCATTTGCAGCTGGAAGGGCATGCCCTGCTTAAAACATATGGCAGAGTAGTTGGCAGTTCATTCCACTGTGGTGACCCCTGATAAATCAGGGACTAAGTTGAAGAAAAATGAATAAACGTAAAGCTACCTAATCAATCCAACACTCATCCAATCAACAACAATACATCTCAATCAAACTTTTAGCCAAACTATATTCATAACCAATATCATAACCATCTGTTGTGTTTTTAAAGAGTTTTTTTTTCTATACAGCTAGGGTCTGCTTCTTTTGATAGAAAATTTTAAATAAGTACATTAAATACAAGAAATACCTCATTAGAATTAGTTTTTTGATGGGGCAAGTATATATTTTTTCTGATTGGCCATTAAAAAAAATCCTTGGCTTACAGTCCTGTATAAGTCTGAGTTTTCTTCTTCGTGGTCTTTAAAAGTGTTAGATTTAACTTGGTGAAACCTGCAGAAACCCTGGTACAGAGAGAGGATTAAATGGTAAACCTGAGTAAATGATGACAAGTGTCAAATGTGAAGCAAAACAACCCAGGGTTCAGTTTACCACAGGGTTACATTCAGAATGTGTGAACAGTAATATTAGTACTTCAACTCTTAAACCTATGAGTCCACATTTATTTTTAATTTTAATATAACAATAGTATTTAAACATACTATTTCTTGACATTATTAAGCTATATTCCAATTTTGGATCGTTGTTGGTGAGTGTATAACTAATAATATGTTGCCCAAGACGTCCCTGCACATGTGACGGTAGCAGAGATGCAGTTTTCCTGTACAGTGAGACAGACTCACGTTATGTTCATGTCCACACTGACTCCAGGAGCTCCTCTCTCACTGTACATGATGGCCATGGTGGAGATCATGTCCACGAGCGTGGCTGTCATTCCTCCGTGAAGAGTTCCCCCTCTGTTCGTGTGCTGCTCCTCCACCTTCATCTCACACACCACCTTACCGGGAGCCGCAGACAGAACCTCCACCTGCTCACAATATCAACTCAATATCACTGTGTCTGGTCTGGCAGGACCCTCAAGGAGAACCACAAACACTCACCTTACTTAAAACCCGGTCAAACCCAGGACTGTCCGCCATCGCTCTGAAGATCTGTTTGACTGCATTCAGCGTTAATGAAGCCATTACTGATTCTAGCATTAAGTAACAAAACACAGAGAAGGACAAGTTCACTATTGTAAACCGCTTGAAAGCTGGCCCAAGTTATACAAAATAAGAGTTTTGTTATTTTTTCGTCTTTGAACCCCTTAATTAAAAAATATATATATCTTATAATAGAAAATAAAGATTGTATACAAGTGTTTTAAAATTGCACTGCGTTCTTCTCAAACTAATTTCTAAGCGATTTGTAAGATGTGATGAACATTCGGCTTTTAGTTTGAAATAATGGATCTTTTCATTCATCCATCGGAGTCGGATCTTTGTAACGAACCCGCTGAACCGGTTTACGAAACGATCTGAATCAATCGGTGAAATAGAAAATCGATAATATTGTAACGGTGTTCGCGGACAAAGGCACTTGAATTAAATAACGTTTTCCATGTAGGTCATAAATATCGTCTAATTTATTTGCGACATCATGTCTACATTAAACCGAACTGCAAAACAAAGTGAATAATACATATTATTCGTGCATAAAAAGTTTAGAGAATGTTGTGTATTACCTCGATTGGCTATGCGCCACAATAATACAAGTGGTGCTTGCTATAAAAAGAATCAGTGAATCGTTTTACTGTTCAAAAGAATCGAGTCTTTCTGCACTACAGTTAAATTCTTCCGGAAAGCCTCTACTTGAACAACAATTTAGCAGAAACTCTATGAGCGCCCTTTTTGTGTGTGAAAATCAAACAAATAATACTTTAATAACTTATACAATTTATAGGGATTTTGAAGCAAGCCCAGAAGCTGTAAGATAATGTTAGTTTTGATTTTTCTTAGTATTTTTCACGGTTTCCACCCGGAATATTTTTTTGGCTGTACACGCTCACAGCCCGCCGTTATATTGAACTGTGAACATGTCCAACACTGTTTTGTCTGGTAATCAAACCGATCAACAAATGTCTGCTCTGGAGGAATCCAGGACGAGACTTTGTGATCAGTTTGCCTTTGTATCTGGATCGGACAGCGCCGTGGCACAGTGCTATCTAGCAGAAAATGAGTGGGACATGGAGGTTTGTCAGTAGGAACTTAACGTTACTTTACTCATCCTATCAACTCAGTTTATGGTTAAAAATTGAGTAAATTGTTCGTCGTTTTCCATATGTAAAACATTGCTGTTTTTTTCAATTGTGTTTGTGTATTTTGCCAGAGAGCTTTAAATTCTTTCTTTGAGGCTCATATGGATTCAGTCTTCGATGAGGAAGCAGAGAAAACTGAAGTGACTGGGAATAAGAGAAAAGATGTGAATTCTTCTGACACTGCTGAAGCTTCAGGGACGAAGAAGAAATTGAAGACGGACAATGCGGATTGGTATTGTCTCCATATTTATTTAGTATCAAACACTGCATTTGCAATGAATGTGAGTCATAAATAAATAAAAAATACATTCTAAAACAAACTAAACATTAAAATGATACAATTAAAGTGTGTCACGTTTAAGTTGTAAAATATAAAAGGTGTTTTACTGTTATTTACAGAAGTGATTGACTAAGTGGTATATATTGTGTAATGTATCAATAAATATCATGGTAAAGTTGGGTTTATATTCGCACATTTGTTTATTTAATGCTCTCTACACTGTTTACCACGCTAATCTGAATACTTGGCGTGAACTTGCATGAAAGAATGTCTTTAAAACAACATTAACACCATTTAATTGACAGTGAACAATGTTTTATTTTGATGGTCATTGGCTGCTATTATGATTTCCCTTTTTAGAATTCGTCAGAAATGCTTTTTTGAAATAATATTATTAAGGAGAAAGTCTGATTGAGGTAAAGTTGATTTTATATTTTCAGAAATTAGAAAAAAGTCTGAATGTGCGAATATATAACCAACTTTACCTCAATTTAATAAATCCTGTCATGTATATTTAGAACAAAAATCAATAACGGCACATTAAAATACTTACTTTATCCCTACTTAAAGGGATAGTTCACTCAAAAATGACATTTCTGTTTTCATATTATTCACCCTTTAACTCTTACTTGAGTTTCTTACTACTAGTAAAAACTAAGAAAATTATTTTGAAGAAAGCTGATCATTGGTATCCATTGATTCCATAGTATGTTATTCATGCTATGGAAAGGGTACTATCAGTCTGTTCAAAATGTCTACTTTTGTCTTCTCAGAAAAAAGACCCTCATTTATCTGCCCTCACTCCGGTGTCTCTCTTCCCAAATTTAGACAGACAGAAAAACTCTTTCCAACACATGAGATGTGGGGGAATGCTGCTTTATTCCATGCCACATTGAGTATGTTGAAAAAGAGTGTAATTACATTAAACGATATGCACACAATGAGCTATGCTTACCTATGTAGTATTTACATAACATTAATATCTGAGATAGTGTATAAATACAAACAGATAATAAGCTTACAGACAATGCTTCTACAGATGATGAGTGGATTGTAAGTGTCTTCCTGTAAGGTGTTCTTTTTAAATGAGGCAATACATTGATTATAGCTGTCAGAATGTTTCTATAGCAACAACAATTTAAAAGAAGCTCAATGACTTGGCGTTAACTTATGGTTTCTAAATATTAATATTTAGTAGATGATCCAGCACACTCATAAAGTCATGAACTCACTTTTGTAAATTTAATTTGATCCAGACAACAACATGTGATCTCATATTTGACCCAGTTTTTCCTTTTTTTTTGTGTACAGCATTGACTTGACAGCAGAGGAGCCCACCTGCTCTATTACTGTAAACTCTAAAGAAAATCAGGCTGAAAATGGCACAGCCAAATCTGAAGTGGAGGACAGCAAGCTATCCATCATCAGCTGGAATGTGGACGGTTTGGACACATTAAATCTTGCAGAACGTGCCAGGGGCTTGTGCTCATATCTAGCTCTGTAAGTTGATTACAGATGTCTTTTATTTTATAAATGAGACAGTACTGGAGTTTGGCTTGATATCTTCACAATTGGCAGGGTTGGATCAGTTAAGCAAAATCTGGTGTAATTTCTCAGTTGGTGAAGTTTGTCTGAAGTGTGACCACTAACAGAAACATTGGTGCATAACAAATAAGTAAACTGAGATCACTTAAGAAAAAAGGATGGGCCTCAGACCACTTCTAAATGAACTCTGGTGTAGTTTGACTGAAATATGAACACAACACGGACCAAATACTTGTAAACAAACCAAAAACAGGACTATTTTCAGCTATTAAAAGAACAGAATGCTCATTCAGACTAGTTTTTACAGTATTTAGTACAGGATTTTTTTTTTATCCAGACTAAATGAGCCAGGAAAACTGAATTACTAGTGTGAACTTACCCTTAGTTTCTATTTATGTGTTTATTTTTATAGATACACACCAGATGTGGTTTTTCTTCAAGAGCTCATTCCAGCTTATGTTCAGTATCTTAAGAAACGTGCCGTCAGCTACTTGTTTTTTGAAGGTAAGTGAACATTCTCTGTGCTCAGGGACGTGTTTTATGTACAAGGAGTTTGAGTTTTTTGTTTTTTTCCCATTATAGGGAGCGATGATGGATACTTTACCGGGATAATGTTAAGGAAATCAAGAGTAAAATTTTTGGAAAGCGAGATCATCTGCTTTCCAACAACACAAATGATGAGGAATCTGCTCATTGCTCAGGTGAGTTTGTGTTGGTCAAACACCACAGGTTCACTTCTTAATGGAACCAGAGCTGAACTCTTTATTCAAAAATACAATAAAAATGTAAATAATTAGATTTTTTTTTAAAATTACAATCAAAAAACGGATATCTCTTAGAAATGATTTAGTCTCCTTTGATAAGTCATTAATCCAGTCTTCAGTGCATAATAATATGCTGATATGGTGTTCAAGAAACATCTTGGCTTATTACATAAGTTCAAAACAGTTGTGCTTCTTTAAAGGGTTAGTTCACGCAAAATGAAAATTGTTATAAATTCATACTCCATAGACAACTAGGCTCTCAAGTCCCCAGAACAGACCATATCCATTTAGTGGTTTATTCTGAACATTATCAAGCTATGAGAATACATTTGTGTGCACCATAAAACAAAAAAAACAACTATTCAACAGTTTAGTCCTCTCAGTGTCAGTACCCAGATAGCAAAGAATTCTGGACCAGATTCGGCATAAATCTGGCACAGCAAGCATTCATCCGGCACTGGTATACAGCGTGTGGGTCAAACATGGCCCTGGTTTGGCAGAGGTGGCACCGTCTTTAAGGCGGCACACAATACTTGGGCCAGATGTTAATAACTGTGGGCCATGTAAGTTTGGCCTGTCTTAACCCACATTTCAAATACATTTTAATTATTTTCAAATAAAGAAAAAAAGTCTACCAATCAGGTGGCTTCGAGAAAAAGCATACCCATAGCACAACTAAAGGGCAATAATTCATGGGTTTATCAATTTCATTACAGTCATGACTCACCAATATATATGGCTCAGTTATGGGTTTTTAACTTGGCTGAGACTTGGCCCAGATATGGTCCACGTTTGGCCCTTGTCTTGGTCCAGACAAAGGAAAAGTCGATTGTGTGGGCCATAGGGTTGTAACGGTATGAATTTTTTACGGTATGATAATCGTCTAAAACAATACCACGGTTTGACGGTTTCGCGGTATACGGTATGTTACAAATGTTACAAAATAATAGAACAGTGAAGCAAATTTGACTTTTTCCAAATAATATATTTTCAGTTACTATAAACAACACCACTTACAATGAACAAATAAAAAATAAGAAAATAATAAATAATGTGTCAAAGTCCAAATAAAGTCCAAATAAACATGGTGCAAATCCTCAGGAAAAAAATAGATATAAATATTTACTATACAATAAATAGTTACATAACGAAACTAGATTCAATATGGAACATCCTTAGGTTTTATGTGCCAGCATGGATATGGTTGTCTGTGGATATGGATTTGGATATGGTTGTCTGCAATGCAGACAAACAGCTGCACCTTCATTTGTGTCTTTTGAAAACAGCAAGAGCAGCAGTTCGTCTTTGCTGTGTCACTGTTTTGTCATGTTTCTGTGCTGCTTTGCATGCAAAAGTACTTAGTATGAAAATTATTTCATGCAAAACTTTTTTTTTTGCGTTTCATTTAGCCGCGCATAAATGTATGCCTATCTCTCATTCCGTGTTGTTCATAAAGCTCATGTTGGTCCACAAACAAAAGCGAAACCTATGCTTATTGGTTGTGATATAGCGAGTTTGAACCAATCTGGGCATGGAGGAGGGACAATGCATCAATGTATCGTGTCTGGTTTGTCCGGAGACACAGTGACGAGCGTTTCTTTGTCAAATCAGCGTTGTCAAATTTTGATGACGTAACCGCACTGATTCCGGAGCCTCTGAAAGTCCGCGAATGTTTTGTGCATACAGCACTGGAAAGCTGAGACTCTCTTCTTTATGCCAATCTTTGAATTGTATGAATCGGATCAGCGGATCAAAAGTTATTAAACATTTAAGAGCAATACTTATTTTTAGCCGCGGGCGGCTGTCTCGGTCTTTAAGGGTTAAAACCGTTGATATGCAATTGTTCATGGTATGATAATCGTGCACGTTCAAATCGTGGTAGACCGTCATACCGGTATATTGTTACAACCCTAGTGGGCCAGAGGTAAGCCAGAGATATTTTGCTATGTGGGTATATTGTGCATGTTCTTGAGCACTATGCAGTGATCTATAGGCCCACCCGGAATTTGCACTCGCAGAATTGCACAGATTTTCCGCAGATTTTTAGCCCATCATTAATTCTGTTTGTTTACTTGAGTAAATGTGTGTAAATCTATATTTATTTAGTTTTTTATTTAATTACAGTAATATTATTGACTAATGTGAAAATGTTCATTTGAATTATGTACAATGCAGTTTGTACCGTAATATTTTCTGTCTTTTACTAGATATATTATATGAGAAACTTGCTTTATTTACCAATTAAAGTAAATCTAGTTAGATTTGCATTTTAAACATTAAATAAAAGTTAAAAATCTATATTTTTTATTTCATATATTAAAGTAAATAATTCCGCAGAAATCTGCAGATCTTTACCAAAATTCTTGCAGAAATAGCAAAAAATGTCCGCAGATTCCGTCTGACCCTATGTATAACATATAGCAATAACCTAATTTTAACAAACACTTTATTATATTTATTTAAATATATATTTATAGTGTGTGAACTGAGATTTCTTTTGAAAGAAAAATCTTCTGAAACTTAATAAATGTCTGCACTGTCACTTGTGATCAATATCATGCTATAGAATTGCTAAAAAAAAAAAAAATAGTTTCTTTAACAAAAAGGGTACTTACTCCAAACCTGTGAACAGTAGTGAATGTATACATGAACCTTTATTTTGTAGGTTGTTGTGCACACGTTAATTTCTCCTTCTATTTTTATTTTTGAATGTTTCATTTTTTTAGGTGACTTTCTCAGGTCAGAAGCTATACTTGATGACATCCCATTTAGAAAGCTGTAAAAACCAATCCCAGGAGAGAACGAAACAATTGCGGGTTGTGCTTCAAAAGATTAAGGAAGCGCCAGAAGATGCCATTGTCATTTTTGCAGGTGACACAAATCTCAGAGACGCAGAGGTAAATTGCATTCTTTAATAATTACATTTATGGACGAAATCAGTGAATATGCGTCATAAATGGCTTTTTTCACACCTATTTGGATACCTTAAAATATGACAAAGCAGTGGCATTGACATATAAACCTGTCTGATTTTGACTATTTTGAATTACAATATAAAAAACACAAGCAAACATCAGAAGACTCCAGATTTACTGGTGCAAACAGTATGTTTTGAAACACTGGTCTAACACTGACAGTAGCTCCAAATATAGTTGAAATCAAAATTATTCACCCTCCTGTGAATTTTGTTTTCTAGTTCAATTTTCCAAATGATGTTAAACAGAGCAAAGAATTTTTCACAGTATGTCTGATAATATTTTTTCTTTTGGAGAAAGTCTAATTTGTTTTATTTTAGCTAGAATAAAAGTAGTTTAAACCTAAAAAAAAAATTTTTTTAAAGGTGCAGTATGTAAGGTTGACTCCCAGTGGTTGAACTAGGTATTGCACTCCTGAATCAAAACAAACGCAACCGCAGGTTGCCAGATTGAGGACAGGAGCGAGTGATATAAATCATGTAATCATATCATTATAAAAGCAATGGAACCCGTTAGAAGGAATATTTTCCGTATTAAAAGGAGTTCTTGTCCTAACCAACACCTCAAACTGATATAATAGAAAGGGCTTCTATTTCTTTCAGCCAAAAAACAGAAAACTATGACAATGATCACTTCAGGTACACCTTGTGTGCTTTCTTCAGTGTTAAATGCTAACAATGCGAGTTTGAATGTCTTTATACATGACATTTATTGCCATACTTTTGAAAGCAGCTGCAGATAGTTCACCTCAGATCTTGAAAATAAACTAAACTTTAGAACTAAACACATATGTTAAATAATGTTACATAATGTTAAAGAGGTTTAATATGTATTTATTAGATTATAACCCTTAACATTTGATGAGTGAGTGCATACTCATAAATTTCTGTCGTGTTTCGTCTGGTGCAAACAGCCAAATTGCTTATTACTGCAAATCTAGTTACAATGCTTGTTGTTAGGACACAGGGTTACAATATAACCTGCTCACCTAATGTTTACAGTCGTAATACTTATATAATTTGCTAATTAATAACCTCATGTGTCTGAATCTGCATTTCGGGATCTGCCACTGTCCACTGGAGGTCGCATTTCGGTCACGGACGCATGCTTTCAGAGCCTTTCTGAATGAATGAATGAATGAAATATGCTGTTTTCCACAAAGGCAACCCTGGGGTGCTGAAATAGAATTGCCTAAACTGACAATGGGCAGGTTAAAATTACCAAATTAAAGACCGACATATCCGGCACGGAAAATACATTTTCAAAGCAATAAGGTGAAACTTCAGGATTGTTTTTTAGATAAACAAGAATGTTCACTTGCCATGTTTCTTAAATATTTGCAAACATATTAATGAATTATTATGCTTTAAAAGAGTCGAAAACTTACATACAGCACCTTTAAGGTCATTATTAGCCTCCTTAAGCTATATATTTTTTCGATAATCCACAGAACAAACCACTGTTATACAATTACTTGCCTAATTACCCCAACTTGCCTAGTTACCCTAATAAACATAGTTAAGCCTTTAAATGTAACTTTAAACTGAATACTAGTATCTTGAAAAATATCTAGTCAAATATTATTTACTGTCATCATGGTAAAATAAAAGATAAAATAAATCAGTTATAAGAAATGAGTTATTATCACTATTATGTTAAGAAATGTGTTGAAAAATCTCTCCATTAAACAGAAATTGGGGAATAATATATACAGGGGGGCTAATAATTGACTTCAACTGTATAATAAAGGAATGTTCGTGTGTGTATGTGTGTGTGTGTAGGTGGCCAATGTTGGAGGTTTGCCTGCAGGTGTGTGTGATGTGTGGGAACAGCTGGGCAAACAAGAACACTGCAGGTACACCTGGGACACCAAAGCTAACAGCAATAAGACTGTGCCTTACGTCAGCAGATGTCGCTTCGACCGCATATTCCTGAGGTCTGCTAAAACCCGTCCAGCGGTCACTCCTGACCACATGGCCTTGATTGGAATGGAGAAACTGGACTGCGGTCGTTATACCAGTGATCACTGGGGTATTTACTGCACTTTCAACACATGAAATACCAAAATGACCAACGTCTTCTGTCCAGAAGAGTTGGCTTTATAGAGTGTGCTCAAATCAAAAATAGTTTAAGAGTGCCTACAAAATGCAGACTACAGTTCAGTGTAAGAAACAAAGACAAACAGATACTTGGCTGAATATAAAGTACTGCATTAGGAAACATGAAGAAATGGTTTTAGCATATTCCACACCATCTTTCCAGATGATCCTATATCTTGGATTTAACATAAAAAAATCAAGTGTTTTCTGAATTTAAATGCTTTTATTTGAATAAATGTGATTTGTTGTGGTAACTGGTACAGGTTGTGTGTCCTATATTTACCACAAGTGGTCAGTATTTCCCAAGCATTATGGCTCTTTACGTAAAGATGCTTTTGATGGTCATTGTAATGGAGGCAGTGTATTGATCCTTCTTTGTGCCATAAGATGTCATTTAGTTTAGGCGAAACCAATCTCAGGAACGCAGAAGTGAATAACAGTTAGTAATGCTTTACATTTACTGACTGAATCAGTGAATATGCTTAATAAATACCTCTTTCACACCTATTTGGATACTTTAAAATATGAAATATAAACCTGTCTAATTTTGACTATTTTTAATTACAATATAAAATGACGAAACAAACCACAGAAGACTCCAGATTTGCTGATGTCAACAGTATGTTTTCAAACACTAGTGAGCTCCAAATACAGTTGAAGTCAATATGATTCACCCTCCTGTCAATTTTGTTTCATTCATTCATTTTCTTGTCGGCTTAGTGCCTTTATTAATCCGGGTCACCACAGCGGAATGAACCGCCAACTTATCTAGCAAGTTTTTACACAGCGGATTCCCTTCCAGCCGTAACCCATCTCTGGGAAACATCCACACACTCTAATACACTACGGACAATTTAGCCTACCCAATTCACCTGTACCGCATGTCTTTGGACTGTGGGGGAGACCGGAGCACCCGGAGGAAACCCACATGAACGCAGGGAGAACATGAAAACTCCACACAGAAACACCAACTGAGCCGAGGCTCGAACCAGCGACCCAGTGACCTTCTTGCTGTGAGGTGACAGCAATACCTACTGTGCCACTGCTTCGCCCCGTCAATTTCGTTTTCTTTTTCAAATATTTCCCAAATGATGTTTAACAGAGAAAGGAATTTTCACTGTATTTCTTATAATATTTTTTCTATTGGAGAAAGTCTTTTTTTGTTTGTCTTATTTCTACATACAAACTACAGTCAGTCTTCACAAACTACGTACAATCTCAAATCTATACGTCTAGAAAGAAATCATAATACATTTTGCAAGCTTATTTGTAAACAAATTAGTTCTTGTTGTTTTGCAGTTTTGAATGTAAAGTATTGAAATTTGTATTTAAATAATCCTGAAATCAGTATTTTTTATCACTCTTAGCAATTTAGTTTTTTTCTAATTGTAGCTTGAAATAAGATATCTGATGTGCAACAACAACAAAAAAGCATATTTGTATACAAAATGGTTCTTGTGCATTATGACTAGGCCCACACGGAATCTGTGCGCGCAGAATTCTGCAGATTTTTAGCCCGTCATTAATTCTGTTTATTTACTTGAGTAAATGTGTGTAAATCTGTATTTATTCAGTTTTTTTAATTAATCACAGTAATGTTATTGACTAATATGAAAATGTTCATCTGATTTATGTACAATGCAGTTTGTAAAGTAATATTTTACTTTTAGTAGGTTAGTAGTCTTTTAGCAGTTATATTATTTGGGAGTCCTATATATGAAAATATATGACAATATGGTAAAAATATATTTAATAAATTACAGTTTTAGTTATGATACTCCCAAAATCATTCCACAGAAATCCGCAGATTTTTTGCAAAATTCTCAGCAGAAATAGCAAAAAACGTTTGCAGATTCCGTCTGGCCCTGATTATGACAAATCAGGCTATACTGTTGTGCAAATATTGTGACTCTATTACGTATTACTTGGTTATTTCTTTAAATACCTAAAATGCTAGCTTTAAAATGAAAAGTAGTTTTGTTTTTTAAACAAGTAGTTATTAGTTATCAGCATGCATCAGTATTATTGAGATTGAAATAAGATTAAAAAAAATTTAATTAAGATAAGAAATATGTTTATAGCAACACTTGTGACTGCTTTGGGAAATAACGCTCATCTTAGGTGTCATGGGATGACTGATCGTGAAGGAACATGTAGTCTGACACATTTGTTACCCACGACAAATCAAGATTTTATCAACACAAAATCACATAATCTGACATAGGGACTTTTGTAACCGACAGTAAAAATCGTTTGATCTAACCAGGGCTTAATAGACAGTTTCATATATTGGGACTTTATTTATTGTTTTAGCAGCCATCCGTTATAAAGTGAAAATAATTGAATTATGTAAGTACAGATAGGTCTTAATCCATTATGCCATGCCTTTTGAAAAGCTCTTCTGTAGCTTTCATTTTCAGCATGATAGTAATCCACTATATATAGTGAAATCATATTTGGAGAATGAAAACAGCTGATGAAAGAAACACAGGTAGTCATGAAATGGCCTCCACAGGGTCCAGACCTGAATATTATTGAGTCTGTATGAGAGCACCTGGACATAAAAAGAAAGATATGACACTCTTAACCTTAAGAAGAACTCTGGAAAGTGCTAAAAGAAGCCTGATGTTGCACAGCACATTATTTCAGAAATATTTGGTACATATTTCCAAACTTTTGTTTTTAATAAAGACTGATTGATTATATATTGTGCCAAAGTATCAAAGTATTATTAAAACAGCAGCGTATCTATATTTATCTTAGTTTTAACGTCGCAAGTTCCCTCCAAACACTTGAACTTCCGATGACCCTTGAAAATGCGCTCCACACGTCCGTCATAGTAGAAAAATATACACAAAACGTAAATATATATACTACTACAATGAATATTAAGAAATTGTAACCTTACTTGCTTTACATCCAGCAGAAGTGTATCTTTTCTTCGAATCCAGCGGCGATCGACGACCGTGACGACGTAACTTAATGGAGGACTGCGCGAGAGTTTAGGAAGTGAGAAACGTCACGACGTCCCCCATACGTATTTTAGTGAAGTGGATTCTAAAATTGTCCTTTGTGCTGCAAATATTAGGAGATTTTCACTGTTTTGCTAAGCTTAAAACAATTTAATCACCTTGATATAGACTATGTATGTTTAGGGAGCGTCTACAAAGTTCAACCCAAATTTGAAGAGACTCTCATTAATAAACCTGACTGTAAAGTGTTGGGTCTTCATTATAGCTTACATTTCACGGCTGGCTGTATGACTGTAAATATATTATTATATTATATTATATTATATTATATTATATTAGATTAGATTATAAATGTAGATCTTTAAATGTATATTTTCATTGTTCCTTAATGGTACACAAGGACTCTGGCAAGAGTTACACAAATACTCTGTAAATTTGCTCTCACTCTACTGACACATTTTACTCTGAACGCTCAAAAAAGAGCAAAAAGAAATATTTTTGAGTAAAAAAAATATAACTCTGGAAAAATTACTCTAGAAGTTTTCCTGTGTACACAGCTTTTGAAGGCATAATGAGGAATAAAAATTGTAACAAAATACACATTATCTATTAGAATTTTCACTGATTCTAAAACAGAAGCACGTCATTAGCAGACAAATGTTACAAAGTATAAATGTGTTCATCTTCTGATGCTGAAACTTCTCAGACCTGATTTATCTACTTGTTTAGAAAGGAAATGATTAGTCAGTTCTCTTCTCTGCCCTAAATCAGTGGAGTGTCAAGGCGGCAGCTGCTGTCTCGAGCAGGACACACACGTGACTCCAGACAACCTTGAAAGACACCCCACTGCCAAGGCTAATAAACCTTTCGCTTAGTCAGATGAGTAAATATCGTATCTAAACCAGGTCAGACTGCCACAGATCTGCCCTCGGGTTTGTATGACTGTTCAGAGCGCAAACACGCTCTCTAGTCTACCATAACATTCACTACCGTTTAAACGGCTACTGATGTAATTGGTTTTGCTTGAACGTCCTGCTTTAGCTTATGCTTGCTTATAGAACATATGGAGTTGTTAGAGACTCTTCTTATCCCTCAATGAGATGCTTTGCAATGCTATTCCACTCAATACGCATCAGTATTGTAGCACATTGAGTTGGTCTGACACATGGCCAGGAGCACATGCTATTCTAGGTGAAGTGGGAATAGTGGGACTATTTTTGAAATGGAAGAAATGTCAGTATACTAGATCACTTATGCAGCCGTTGGTATTGTAACAGAGAGAATGTGATGTTGTTTGTTTGCTCAGCACTTCTGCTGGAGGATTTTCCCCCGTGATCAAGGTTGCGGTGAAGGTTACGGTCATGGACAGACTCCAGATGGGAGGAAAATCGGGACCGTTTTGGTGATTAATCCTAGATTCTAAGATTTAGTTTGAAGTGAATTACATTTTTCTCTTGATCTGCTCAAGATAATCTTACAATAATTAACCATATTTTACTGCAAATTAGATTTGAAAATATTATTATGTTTATTGCAGCTCCACAAATTACCCGTGCTTTTGCTACACTAATGATGGGTTGACCATGTATTTGTAGTAATGCTGTGATTTATACAAGTATGCAAAAAAACAACACATTACCCAACCTTTACTGCAATTGCACCAGGGTTAATTTTTGAAAGTGTGGGATGTTTTTGTGTGATTTTCACTGTACAAATTCACTCACTCCCCTCCTAAAATACACTAAACGGCCACTTTATTAGGTACACTGTACTAGTACCGGTTTGTTACTAATCTCTGATTATATTTCAAGTACCTTGTTGAATCTATGCCACGAAGGATTAAGGCATTTCTGAAGGTAAAAGGTTACCTTCAGAACTGCCTTAATCCTTTGTGGCATAGATTTAACAAGGTACTTGAAATATTCCTCAGAGATTTTGGTCCATATTGACATTACAGCATCATGCAGTTGCTGCAGATTTGTCGGCTGCACGTTCATGATGCGAATCTCCCGTTTCGCCAAATTCCAAAGGTGCTCTATTGGATTGAAATCTGGTGACTGTGGAGGCCATTTGAGTACAGTGAACTCATTGTCATGTTCAAGAAAAACCAGTCTTTATGACTTGGTGCGTTATCCTGCTGGTAGTAGCCGTCAGAAGATGGTACACTGTGGTCATAAAGAGATGGACATGGTCAGCAGCAATACTCACGATGCTCAGTTGGTACTAATGAGCCTAATGGGTGATAAGAAAATATCCCCCACACCATTACACCACCATCACGA